TTTTCTCTCCATTTCCCTGACCAAAGGAGGTGCAGACAGAGGACGGGTGGGCTGAGCCATTGGGGTGAGCAGTGAGCAGCCCCTGGCACGTGGCCCCTGTCCTGCAGTGAGTGCAGCACCCAGACAGAGCCGTGCAGGAAAGGAGAACCCGGCTGCATTGCCGAGGGTTGAATTAAGGAGCACCAATTTAATCACTTGCAGGCGTGACTCCTTCCCTGTGGCAGATGTCACCCAGCAGACAACGAGGGCGTATCATACAGCAAATGGAGTCGCCCCTCTCACATGGCTGGGGCTGTGCAGACTGAACCCATTGCTCACGTATCCCATTGAGCACAGCCTTACCAGTAGTGATGGTGGGTGACACCAGGCAGGTGTGGGACGGCTCGTGCAGGCTTGGCATGTCCCCACATGCATAGCATTTAACTCATGGTGATTTGCTTAAGGGCTCGACCCCCAGGAATTTTTTATCTCCATGCAACTCCTAAATGTACCTCAAAAGAAGAGAGAAAAACACACATAGTTTGGTTTGGTTTTTTTTGCTTTTCCTTTTCCTAATGAAAAATGAGATGCTGGTTGTTTCCCTCGCTGTAATTATAGCCCCATTACCAATCCTAACTATTAACGCTTCTGCAAAATGCAAAAAGAAACATACCTCTGCCTGCACTCATTACTCACAAATAGATTATTTCATGATTCATCTAAATGATTCACATGCTATAATTAACACGAGCTCTACAGTTAATTGCATCTCTGAAATAGTTTAATAATCAGAGTAGCGACTTGACGGGCGTTTTTTTAACGGCGTCTGTGCGATGGATGTTTTATATCAACTGCAGCTTATTAGAAGCAAACACACAAATACATTTTTCTCTGCAGACTGTCCGGGTTGTTTTAGGCTCAGAAAACACAGAAGCAGGTATGCTTTGAGAGAAAAGATTTGTCTGCTTTTTCTATTTGCACAAGTGTCCTTGTCAGTCTCTATGACGCACTGCAGATGAAGGCCACATCACCTCTCCTGACTCTTAACACCATGACTTCATTTTCACAAGGTTAATACCAAAAAGATTTGATTTAGACAAGAATTGGAATTAGAGTAAAAGCTGACATAACCGTGTTAGCACTGGGGATTGGGTTTCTCTGGAGCCCCTTCCATGGAGCCAATGCTATAACCCTGCCCCTGCCTCCCCACCTGCCAAGGATTCTTTGGCACTGATGCTTACAATCCTTTATTTTTAAAGCAGACTCTCCTCCACCCTCACCACAACCGACCACCTCACGACTCAAGATGTGACTGGAAGAAAGAAAATCCTCCAACTGCCAAAATAAGCCTAAAATGCCGTTATTGGCACCATGTGTTCAACATCACTGCTCTGTTAGCTGCACGCAGCTCTGCAACCATTGGCACTGTTGCAGCATCATCAGCAGCCACAGTTCTCATCCTTTGGCCCTCCTGTGCCCCAACTCCAGAGAGAAATCAGATTTATAGGAAAGCTGTACCTTTCCCATTGGTATTTTTCCCCAAAGCACAGCTGCTTGACGGAGCATTTGAAGAATGCTTACCCCAGGAGGTGTCATTTTGGGTTTTGCAACCCAAGGAGAAGCCAAAGGCAACGACAGCAACCACCCCACCTCCCACCTCTCTGCCAATTGCAAACTGTGCACGTGAACAAGGGCCGGGCAAACAGATGGGTTGTGCTGCAAAGCCAACCTTTCAGCACACAGCACCACTTAAGCAGAAACAGACAGAAGCACCAGAAGAAAACTAAACCAGTATATTTTAATTCTACAAAAATGTATAAATATTTAAATGTACAGCAAAGAGTACCAGGATGCCATTTAATAACTGTTACAACATTTAAAATGTGCAATTCTTTATCCACAGTCTACCTCTGTAAATTGAAGTCAATCCTTGCCCTCATCCAGGAGTGCTGCTAAGCAAGGCTGCAGGCTGCCATGCCTTGTGCCATCCCCCCACTTCACCAAAGCCCACCACAATCCCAATGCTCCCCCCAGGAACTGTGTGCCCCAAATGTTCCTCAGTGCCCACTTACCAAGCTGGCCTGAATGTGGAGAAGAGAAATAAGCATGGCTGGTAACTGTTGGAGCAACGGTTCTTGATGAAAGTGACCAAGAGTTGGAGAAGCAGTGCTGATACAAAGCCATGGATGTTGCTGGTGCCCTCTCAGCACCACCAGCCCAGCACAGCTCCTGCTGCTGGGACAGACCGAGGCTCACCAACTCCTTTTGTATCCCCAGGTTGTTCCACACGGGGAATGCAAGGACTTTTAGACAGCACAGAACCCAGGGAGCCTGGAGGCTCTGCCCAGCACCCACAGCAGAAACAACCAGAAGGCGCAGACACAAAGTCAGAACGCACAGCTTTGCAGCAAAGCACACAGCTTTTCTTCAAAACGCCCTTCAAAGAAAGAAATCCTTCTAGCGACTGGGAAATACGTGTGCAGAGAAACTCATCTAGCTGGACAGACCACAACGCCTCACTGCTTCAGCCCCACTTGTGCCTGGTTTCTCCTGTCTCCTTGGGCTCGCAGTGTGCTGATGACCTGGATGTCTGGCCCTCACTTCATCAGTGCAGTTCTTAACACAAGGACTACAAGCAATTCTCCGATGAAATAATTTTTATATTTAGTATTTGTAGAGTTCTCTTTATTTTAAACACACTGTGCAAATAGAAGCCAGTCCTCCCAACACCCTCTGGAGGTATTTTGTCAATGGAGAGCCAAACAGAACCACGCTTATCAGATGTGGTCTGTGACTCTGAGTGCTGCCCTTTGTGGGCACACAACCAAAGGAGAGATTTCGAATTATTTGCCCAGGAAACACAGAAATTTAGGAGATGGAGGAAAAACTGGGGTCCATGCACTCAGAAACTTACATTCATTTCCTACATCACAATTTGTTACCCTTGATGTTGTATCAGCATTTAAATTGCCCTTCACCACTACCACCTCATTCTACACGAGAGGTTCATGTGAAATTCTTCTGGAAGGACTTAGGGGTTTTGCACATTCTCACAAAGGAGGCAGATCCAGGATCTGACCCCTCATCAAGGAGGTAGGTCTGGGATTCGAGCCAACAGAAACACCCACTGTGTCTGAGGCTAAATTCAGTGCTTTTTTCCCTAAGTCAGAACGTAATTTCTCAGCCTCAGTCACTCTGAGACTGCACCTCAAGCCTAGCCCACTGCAGACTGCTTGCACCTTCAAGCAACGATGCCAGAAGAACCTCCCAATGCAAACAGACTCTAAGGGGTGCAGCAGCTGCCACCTCATGCACTGGGGATGCCCTGTCACACAGTGACATCGTCACACTGGAGGCAGCCATCAGTTGGCACCAGGAGTGCTCACTCCTAACGCTCACAGATGCTGTAGGATCTCCCATAACTTTCACTTCTGCAACAGCAAGCAAAAGCCGAGCATCTGGATGTATCATCCACCGGCCTGAGTGGCTCTGCATCCCGAACAGCCCTTGGAAAGGAGACAAAGAAATAATTAAAAAAAAAGAAAATCTGCATGAAGATTGGTTTACATTTGTTTGTGAGGTTTGTATGCTGTTCCTGTGAAGAAAGATTACAGCCAGCTTCTGTTTTGCTGGCTTTTAAGCCATACTGAATAATTCTGGGGGGATTTTAAAATGAGACTGGAAGTGTCTGACACCATACTGAGCAGGGCTGTCAGAATGGACACTTCTCAAATTGAACAGGCTTCTACATTTCATGTAATGATATGTATCTAGAAAATATAAATGGCTATGAATTTTTACTATCCACATATGAGAATACTGACCCATAATTATGTGAATCTCTGCTGTGATGGCCAATGGAAATGATACTGAATGGACAGGTCGCCTTCCCTTACCCAGCCAAAGGCTGACACATTAGCTCCTGGGATGCCTCCGACACGACCACGTGTCATCAGTGCTTCTTTAATAACCATGCTAACAAAGCAAAATGATTAAGCCACAAAATTATTAAAAATATAAATAAGCATCTGCCATCTCTACTGGAGCCGGACCCGACCCACGGTTTTACCCACTGTGACAGGGGATCCCTGGAGGAACGCTCCTGACTGCGTTTCACATAGGATGCAGGGACACAGTGATGCTCAAAAGCAGCTGCAGGTTGGGTCCAGCCTGACACCTGGCCTCTGTTTCTCACAGAGGATCAATTCAGTGGAAGCAGCAAAAACCCTTTGTCTGCCAGGTGTGAGGTTGCAGGCCCTAGCCCTGACCCAGTCTTCCTACTGCAGATTTCAACGCGTGTCACTCCTTCTTAGCATTGTTCCAACGTCTCTTTTGTTGTTCCATTCCATTTCAGTTTATGAATGCGCTCCATCCTGCTGCTGTTTCAAACACACACACGTGGCTATGCCGCTGTCTCTTGACATCAGAAACTCTGCACATCACCTCAGTGGCCCGTCGAGTGCAGGTCTTCCCCACTGCCAACATCCCATCGCCTTGCCAGGAAAGCCAGGTACCAACACGTGGAGGCTGCAGAACCACTGGCCGTCGTTCCCAGCGCCGTCAGCTCCGTAAGGCATTTCGTGCCGTGCCACTGCTCTGCAGCACGATGTACCACACACACACCAACACACTGCACCCAACCTCTCCCGCCAAACTTCACAAAGGTTTCTCTTGAAACAGTCACCGAGGACATTCGCGTTGCTAACGGCGCGGGTTTCGATATTTATAAGCTCCGATGCACTTCTTTTGAGCAGTCACGGGTTTGAAGGGGGCAGGTGGAGCCCTGCTGGAGAACAACACAGCACGGCTCCGTCGGTCGGCGGGCCTCCTGCGGGCGCGAGGCCTCCGACAGGGCTGTGGTTTCCAGCGGGGCCGGGGCCTCCTGTGGGCGAGAGGTTTCCAGCAGCCCCGAGGGCTGCGTGTCGGCAGGAGCCGCGGGGCCGGGCCGTCAGGCCCCCAGCGTCATGTTGCGCAGCAGCCACTGCTGGGACCGGCCGCCCGCACACTCCTTCATGCTGGGGACCAGCTTGTCCTCCTCCGACGGCCCGTCCAGGCACTGGTTGCTGTTGACGTGCCTCAGGGTGAGCTTCTGCAAAAGAGAAGTGGAAGAGCTGAAGCAACAAGACAATCATGGCTGGAAATGCTCTGTGGTTGCTTTTAGCCCTACCCGAGGCCCGGCTCTGTGCCACCCCAACCGCACTGCCTGCAGACCGAGGGGTCCTGCTGCTGAACCAGGCACAGCAGATGGAACGCAAACACAGCAGTGAGCACGTGTGAATATCACCACAAAGCAGCAGTGCTCTGCTTTAAGGAGGACCACCAAGATGACCAGAGGGCTGGAGCACCCCTCCTACAAAGAAAGGTCGAGGGAACTGGGCTTGTTGAGCTTAGAGAAGGCTGCGGGGAGACCTTATGATGGCCTTCCAATGATTGAAGGGAGCCTATAAACAGGAGGGGGAACGGCTGTTTGTGAAGGTGGACAGTGATAGGACAAGGGGGAATGGTTTTAAACTGAGACAGGGGAGATTTAGGTTGAATATTAGGAAGAAGTTTTTCACACACAGGGCAGTGAGGCACTGGCACAGGTTGCCCAAGGAGGCTGTGGATGCCCCATCCCTGCAGGCATTCAAGGCCAGGCTGGATGTGGCTCTGGGCAGCCTGGGCTGCTGGTTGGCGGCCTGCACACAGCAGGGGGTTGGAACTGGATGAGCATTGTGGGCATTTGCAACCCTGGCCATTCTGTGGTTCTATAACAATTCTATGATTAAGGAATTCAGACTCCAACAACCCAAACAGATATGCATTCCAGGTCACTTGGTGTTCGTTTAGAAATAACTGCTAGTGGATAACCTATGTTTCAGAAGCAAACTTCAATTTGTTACGTATTACATGAACAACATCATCGTACAGGTGATAATCTTTCTCTTTTCAATATATTTTTTCTTCTCTGTGCCCTTTCATTATTTGACTATGCTGCACTATTCCTGGGGAATGGGAGAGTCAGAAGGGGACAGAAGGAAGCTGAACACCTTTACCTGAAATCATCTGCTCAAAAGCACTGGCAGCACACATACATAAAGAGACTGAGGGAAGGTGAACGTATCACTGCGGACTGAGCTCTGTACAGCAGCTCCATGCAGGTTATAACCCTGCCCTAGCCAGAACAGCCAAGGGAACAGATTTCATTAACAACTGCAACACATTCTGCTTGGTTTTATATGCAGACAGATACCTGGGCTACTGCACCATGTAATTTTACACTGCAGTCCATCCTGGATTGACACGTCACATACTAACACTCTTCATTTCTATTACAAATATTATTTCACTGGCTCATTCTTAGAGGTTGGCTCCTTGGTTTAAAACAAACTATTATGCACTTCTCAATGAAAATCCTACAGATATTGCAAGAAATCACTGGGGGGCCATCTGACATGCATTCAGTGATGAATATAAGGAATTCTTCTCTAATTACTGGAGGAAAGAGTTAGCAGTGCGAACAGAAGCAGCTTGTTTACTAAACAGCACAGCTCAAAGCACCACTGATTCTTCACTCACATTGTTTCTTGAGCAATTAACCAGCTATCATCTTCTGCTATAACCAGAAATGCAAAGAAGTCTAAAAAAGCTGCCGTCGCCTTCATCAGCTGTTCCCTTCTTTTCAATGTATAATTTAGTGCTAGACTGACATATTATTGGGATTTTCAACCGTCTCATAGATTTTTTTTCTGTGTTCTGTCATTATTTATGCTATTACAAAAAAAGGCCTCATTTGCTTGGGAAACAATTAATTACTAGGCAATACAATACTCATACAAGGCAGCCTAAAATTTCTATTTCACTCAAAGCTGAGAACACACGGATGGGTGCAGAGCAAGCTGCACACACATTCAAATGCTCCAGAACTATGTTGTTTCACACTTAGCCATGTATGCAAATGATAGCTCTGAGGGGAAATCCCTCAGCTCATCAGAGCTCTGGGGCTCTGCACTAATGAGAGCAGTGCTCACCTCGACTTCAGGGTGGTGCACTTGGACATGGAGGGAACAATTTGCTGCATGAAAATATAAGACATGAGAGCAACCCCTGCTTGTGCCACTGAACTTATGTGGTCCCACTGTCTTCCACTACACATACACATCAGTGAAACTATCCGGGCAAAAAAGGCAGTGGTCAGCACAATATTTTTGATTCCTTCAGTGGTTAATGCTTCATAATTGTCTGCTGTAATTAACAACTAACAATAAACATGCATGCTATTATATATACCAAGAGATAGGAAAGGAATTCTCTTGAGGTAAACAAGCAGAGAAAAGAAAAGCATTTTCCTGCAAGGAGCTTAAATCCATAGCTGTTACATTCACTTTCGATGCTGTGTCTGGATGAACTTGCATGAGATGCTTTATATTCAGATACTAACCTCCAACAGCTTGTTAAAGGAAATAATCAGTGGGGCTGTAAAAAATGTTTCTAAAGACTTCCAGCCTGGTGTAGTTCCTTAGCATCCAAGTTTGCAAGGGGCTACCATTGCAAGCCTCCACGGTGGGACCATGGGTGCCATCCTCTATCCTGCTGAGTGTCAGGCATGACTGGGTGATTATGTGTAGAAATGTGTGGGTCTGCATGACAAAAAAATGGTGAAAATAAACAAAACCAGCAAACAGGAGGAGAAGCAAAGGAGAAAGCCATAGCCTTTGACTAGACACCCACAGCAGCAAGGCAGGTCAATCTAACAGCAGTGCTGATAGAGGGGATGGGGGGCTGACTGTGATACCCTGGAGTCAGACGGCACTGTGACCACTCACAGGGCCAGCTCACATGCACAGAGCACACATACAAACAGGCATGCCCATGCCCTGTCAGTGTGGCCTTCCAACACTTGAAGAGAGCCTATAAACAGGAGGGGGTGCGACTGTTTACAAGGGTGGACAGTGATAGGACAAGGGGGAATGGTTTTAAACTGAGACAGGGGAGGTTTAGGTTGGATGTTAGGAGGAAGTTTTTCACACACAGGGTGGTGAGGCACTGGAACAGGTTGCCCAAGGAGGCTGTGGATGCCCCATCCCTGCAGGCATTCAAGGCCAGGCTGGATGTGGCTCTGGGCAGCCTGGGCTGCTGGTTGGTGACCTGCACACAGCAGGGGGTTGGAGCTGGATGAGCACTGTGCTCCTTTGCAACCCAGGCCATTCTAGGATTCTATGATACTGTGAAATCAGCTCCAAAGATGCCAAGCTGTAAACATTTCTGAGTTCCCAGTGTGTCTTGATGTATTGCAGGTACAGCACTGGCAGCCTGACACCAGTGAGTTGCTACCTGAACAGATGAAGCTCCGGGGAGACCTGCAAGGAGAGGACTGTGCTGCTGGGGGAGGAGGAGATGCACTATTCTAGGGTTTGGCACAGGGGCTGCAGCTGTTTCCAAACTTACCTCAAAGCTATACTCCCATTTACCAACATACTGACAGGAGGAAAAAGAAAAGAAGGAAATGAGAGTCAGTGACTCAAGGCACATTTTTTGTGAAGACCTTCATCTTCCAGGGAGTGTAAATTCCACCGCATTGTGCAGATGTCATATTTAGTGACAAATTTGAGAGTAATTATGCACGATCAAATCCTGACATCGTTATTCATGCATGAAGAAACGAAGCCTTTTTCTCTCAAACATGACTAGTATTTTTTCTTCCTTGAGACCATTTGCATTTACCGTACATCCTAAGATTTCACCATCCTACACAGCCTAAAACTTGCTTGGGTGTTGTGGGGAGACACAATGGGATCTACCAGCTCATCCCTTCCCAAGGCAAGCATTGTAAAACCATTACACAATGCGTGCTGATGGGAAGCCATCAAAAGCTGAGAAAGTCCACCTTGGCACATGCCATTGACAGAGCTGATTTATACAGCTCCCTTGCAGTGAAATAGGCAGCTTGAAAATGGGCCAGGAATCCTAATGGGCTGTTAAGGAGTAGGAAATGAAAGCATTACCAATCAATAACAGAAGGCAATGGATTAGGAGGAAAAAAAAATCGAACAAAATGAATTTCCTGCCAAGATGTAAATGCATTCACACACAAAAAAAACCCCTCGGTTTAAAAATGCTGCAAACTGCTGTGGCTTGAACTGCCCAGAGGCAGTCTGCATTGGAAACAGAAAGAGCTGCCTGGGCTGCTTGAGCTGTCTCATAGGGCTCCCACACCAGGTTCCTTCACCACGCGATCCCCTAAAGCCCCATTCCATCCACCAATTCCTGGTGCACACTACTTTCTGATGGATTAAGCTCATGGAAAACCAGCAGGCAGGAAGCAGTGGCAGAATGCAGGTCCAGCAGTGCTTCCCAACACGGCAGCCCAGAGCTACAGGCAGCACGTGCTGTGCTCCAGCCACTGGAAACAGCAGAACCACGGAAAACCAACCTGAAAATTAAAAAAAAACCCACCCACATCTTGATTGAAAGCAAGTTTGTTTCAACATGGACTTTCATTTCTTTGCAGACATTAAACAAAACGTGCTTTATTTGCAGGAGGAACCTGCAGGAGGAGGCGCACAGCCGTGCTGTGAGCCATAGAGACAGCGTGGCACCGAGAGCAAGGCAAGTGCCCCACTCCTCTAATAGCAGCATCTTTGCTTCAGAAAGTAACTACATCTCTAGTTCACATTAACATGTATTAGAGATTCATGTTTCAAAAGCATTTTGCACAAATGTGGACACTTTCCGGCTTGGGAAAATGCAAGGAGGGGCATTTTAAATACTCTCTCCTTCAAGCTGATTCCATCCGATACCTTCACAAATACGTATGGAATGGCTGAGATTTACTTCTCCTATCCCATTTCCTTGTTTATTTTTGAAAAGAATATGAATGCCAGGCACATCTATGGGAATTTTAACGCCAGGAACACCTGAGATTTATCCACAGATGAACCTAAATAATGAACACCAACGCCGTTTCATAAGAAAAGTTCACAAGCTGAGTCTGAGTGTTTGCAGAGTAAAAGTGTTTTCTCAAACAAATAACTCCCGCGAATAAAAAGGTGTGTGATGCAATGCACTGTTCTGTGCACAGAGCAGTCAGCACAGCAGCAGTCTCCGAGATCCCTTATGTAAGGTCTGAGCACAAAAGGCAGAGTATTTCTTTTTTATGAGCTCCACCTAATGGCTGACGGCGTTTTTACACAGCTACAATCTTCTGCTGGGGATCTATTATGCTGAAGGTAAGAAGATAGCTTGTCTCTAATGCTAAAAGTAAAGGGAAACGTAATGGGTTGGAAGAAATGGAACCTATTCAGACAGAATGCTGAAAGCAGCAGCTGCTCTGTGATGCTGGAGAGGGTTACAAATGACCGTGCTGTTATAAGGCAGTACCTTCCAAGCTCTGCAGCACTTTCCCAGCTTTGCTGCCATGGAAATAGGCCAAAGCTAAGGTGGCATTTTTAAGCCTAGAACAGCGTAATTGTGCAACTGCAACCATCAGGCACTCAGTGTCAGAACTCCACGTGGGATTCATTTGCTGCAGCTTGTGCTTGAAATATCCAAAGAAAAGCAACCAGCGTTCTGACTTTTTATCAGGAAAAACTGCTCTCTGTGCTGGCAGCAGAGGAAAAAGCGTTTGGTGAGAAGCCTTGTCTTGAGCTCTGTGCACCTACTGACCAGTGCTACAATCTGCTTATGGAATAAAATGTGGGGAGATGAAAGGTCTTAAATCCCCAACATTAACTGCTGGCATGAGCACTTAACACCACCCAAACACATGCTGTGTAAGAAGAAAATCATCTTCGCTGCAGAGCACACTGGTTTCAATTCAGACGGGAAACTCAAAAATGAATCAAAACCTGGCAAACACACTGGGGCTAACTGTTGTTTGCCTTCTTGGCAGCTCACTGCTGTGGAATGGCAGGGTTGCATGGTTTTTATCAGAGGCAGGTAGAAAAAAATGCCAATACCTTCGTGTGGACTTCACTGTGCAAAACTGACATCCATGTTTCAAAGCAGAAGCTCAGAACTAACGCTTTCAACCTGCTGTTCCCTGCTGCATTTGAAGAGAGGTACTAATTCAGCCCTACAATATTGAGATTCTTCCGTGCTTTCTGTATTAATGCTGCAACTTATCTCTAAGTAACCGCATCTCTACAAACTGCTCTTCCTTTCACAACCCAGGGAAAGCCATGTCCCATCCCAGCAGCTAAATAAGCAGGTGACTGGCACATGGAAAATAACTAAACAGTTCAAACCCAGTCTAAAAGCTTCGAGAACAAGTAGAAACAAAGTAGTAAAACTCTAACTTAGACAAACACGTATTGTTTTCCATTTCTTTTATATAAATCAAGCAGAATGCTTCTTCAATTTTCTAAAGAGATCCAAGACAGCCACGTGCTGGGCTCAGTGAGCTGGCTGACTTGCTGTATACAGGGAAATGGTCAGCAACACGCTGCCCCAAGAGCACACAGGGGAACCCAGTACCTCAGCATCGTACTCCCAGAGCTGGTTCCCTCGCATGTGGTGGCATTTGAGCATGGTCACAGGGCCGTTCAGCCGCGACACGTCCAGGCACAGATCATCCGTGCGGATCTCCTTGTCTGCCGTGTAGGAAAACACCTGCCAAGAGAAAGTGCCTGCAGTGACAAGGCATTGGCAAAACGCAGCAACAGACAACATTTCTGGTCTTGAAGTGAGACAGGGGAGGTTTAGGTTGGATATGAGGAGGAAGTTTTTCACACACAGGGTGGTGAGGCACTGGCACAGGTTGCCCAAGGAGGCTGTGGATGCCCCATCCCTGCAGGCATTCAAGGCCAGGCTGGATGTGGCTCTGGGCAGCCTGGGCTGCTGGTTGGCGACCTGCACACAGCAGGGGTTGGAAGGAACACAACTTACTTCTCCCAACAACCATGTGGTATCGTGGACTTCATAAGCATTTCATGCAAGGTTCTCCAATTGTGGAAGTCCATAGTACATAGGAAAAGGAACACCACGTTTAGGAAAACACATTTTATGTGCCAAAAGCCATCGGCCACTCAGCCTTACTTCTTGGGAACAACACAGCGGGGACACAGAACAAAGACTGCAGCACAACACAAGTGTGAGCGCCGAGCTCAGAGGTAGTCCCACAGACCTTTGGATTGCATGAGTGACACTCTGACCTCCCCATCTGGAGAACCTGAGCCTCTTTTACACCATGTTGGGAAGAAGTGTTGATCTGCCTAGGGGTCAGAAGGCCCTACAGCAGGATCTGGACAGGGTGATCACTGCACTGAGGCCAGCTGGATGAAGTGCAACAAGACCAAGTGCTGCGTCATGCGCTTCAGCTCCAGCAACCCCATGCACTGCTACGTGGTGTTCAAGAAATGTGTAGAAATGTGGCTCTGAGGGACATGGTGGGATGGGTTGGGGTTGGACTTGGGGATCCTAGAGATCTTCTTCAACCTCAATGATTCCATAATTCCTTAAATGAATCGCTCCCCTGAGTGTCTACCTTAACTGCTGGCACCAAGGGTTATCCATGTTGAAGGCTGATGTGTGCAAGAATTACACAACTTGCAGATCTCTTAATAAAATTAGGAAATAAATGAAGACACAGCAGCCATCCGCCAACAAAATTCTATCAAACTAGGTATAAGCTTCAGAGGGATTCTTTAACAGAATGCCTTCAGCAATGCATTCACCCCTTGGAGACAGAAAGGAGGTGGAGGAAAATGTGGAGACCATAAGAGGACGAAATGGAGGATGATGGCAGGACTGCCACTAGTTGTGTTAAATTGTAAGGCCCTGACCCACTCAAAGTATCTCAAAGCATTCCCAACCCACTGTTCAAAGCCTTGATGGTGCTGCTGGCCCCAGCACAAGCCAACGTTAGGTTAAGTAAAGGCAATACTCTGTAAAAACTTGCAAAATCTATAAATTGCATACAGCTGTCATGGGAACAGAGGCAAGTATTGGGAAGCTGAGGTTCAGATAAGTCAATTAGAGCAACCATGAAAAATGAAATAGCGTGCAAAGACAGCAGAGGGGCTGCCAGGTCCCAGTCTGAGCAGTAAGACAGATATGGGAAAGTGCAGGCTGCAAGGATCAGTGGGCTCTGCATTTCTCTCACTCCTTATTCACCACTCAGCAGCCACCCGTTTGGATGAAAATCCAGGCTCCACAGGCATGGTGAAGTACCAGCCACCACCTGTTGCATTTATTCATCTTGAGATAAATCTCAGCAATCAAACTGAGGCTTTCCAAGTGCTGCTTTCACTTAAGAACACATCAGACACAGTTAACACTCAGATGGGCTTTTCTCAAGAGGAAAGGCACTTTTAAATACTGAGCCAGGGGTGCTCTGCTGAGGTCACATTCAAGCACACCGTCTTGTTGGAAAGGGGTGAGATGAGCCCATATCAAAAATCTGTTAATGTTCATATGCTGTAAGTATACATATCCCCACTTTTCTGTGCACAAAAGCACATTCTATGGCTTTTAAAAACACTGTGTAACCTCTATTTTGCAAACATTAGCCTTGCCAGTGCTTGCTGACGTGCAGAAAGCTAAGTATATGTAGGGCCCATCTCATTCTCTTACTTTTCAGAAGGATTTAGAAAGGAAAATTTATAGCTGAGGGCTAACCAAGGAAGACAGATGGGTGTCACTTCGAGAGGTTTCCCCAGAGGAGCTACAAGTGCAGAAGATGCTCTGGATGTAACCAGAAGAAGAAAAAAGGCCCAATTTTCTGTTAATGCAAAGCTCAGCAACATTTGTAGCACCGAGCATTGCTCACTGCAAGTAGCAGCATTTGGCTGCAGGAATCACTCATACACTCCCATGTACACACTGTACAGATAGTTTATCTCCTGCCATGCTCATTACTGAGAGATTTATCCATTACTATTTATCCTGAAGCAACTTCTACTTAAAATTTTAACTTATTTGTGTTGGTTTTCTTAGAGTAAACAAGTTTGCATCAGACATCTTCTAGGCTCAGGGACACAGCAGCTGTTTTCTGCTGTGCTTTACGGAAAGCAAATACTCAGATTTTGTAATGTATTTTCATTTGCATCTTTCCTTTTCCTCTCTTCTTTGATAACTGCAATACTCCATTATATCTTCTGAAAGAATAAGTGATGTCAGAGTTAACAATTACAGAAGATGGATTTGAAAAACACGCAGTCTTCAGGAAGAAAAATGAATGTTAATTAAGACAATGTAAAATTATCAAGCTACCATTTTACTAACGTCCATATTAATTACATACATAATCCTATTAACGTCACTGTATAAAAACAGAGGGTGAGGAACAACAGGTTGCATCTCAGAGCTAATTAAATAGCGTATGCCATGCGATGTGATGCAGTGCACGACAGCAGCACTCCTCCTGCCCTCCTCCTGCCCATGGCAGGGACATGCCTACACCCCAGCATGGCCCTCCAGCCCCATGTGCCCCCAGCAGCTCCTTGGACTCATCCCCACAGTCAGGAGAACTTTTGGTCGTGATGCACAATAGACCACAGCTACAACTGTGCCTCTGTTCCCTCCCCAGTTACTAACAAAATTTGTGTCCAGGATAAGCGACAGACATTGGAGTAAAATTTCCTTTTTGTTTTTTGAGATATATTGGCTTGGGAAGGCTGAGGAAGCACAGTGTTGTTGGGTATCTTTAGATACATCAAACGGCCAAGGTGCAAACAGAACCTTGGCTGTATAAAGTCTTACCAAAACGATAACCCTTCCATCTCCTAAGTCAAATTAACAATGAGAGAGAAGTCTGGGATTACTGTGACGACCTCTGAAAGGAAAGTGGAAGATTTTGCTCTGAGGTCCTTCATCTTCTCTCATTTGTTTGTAGCAGATGTGACACTGGAGAAAGCCACTCGTGAAAAAATAGCTTTATCACAGAACCAGAATCACAGAATGGTTGGGTTGGAAGGGACCTCAAGGATCATGAAGCTCCAACCCCCTGCCACACGCAGTGTCACCAACCTCCACATTTCACAGCAGCCCAGGCTGCCCAGGGCCCCATCCAACCTGGCCTTGAACACCTCCAGGGACAGGGCAGAGTATGCATCCCTTAAAGCTCAAAATCTCAGTTTAGAACCTTTATTACTACATTTACCGACCGCCGCAGGTTTTTTTTGCAGTGATCCAACATGTCTGCTGCAGTGAGCCAATTCTCACCAGGTTTTCCAGATCACCATTTGGCCTGTGGGACATCTACCCCCTTACTGTCATTCCTACCTGGTTCCCTCCCATGCCATGGCAGTTGAAGATGCCCACTTTCTCGTTTTCCTTACGGCCCATGTTGTCCAAACACTGGTTGGTGTCAACATTCCTGATCTGAAGAAAGAAAAAGATGAAACGTGCCTTAGAACAGTATGCCTGTAATGTCATGTTTGTGCAGAGAAAAATTACACCATGTATTTTCTCCTGCAGCCTACAGCTATCTATGCATTCAGCTACAGCAATGTGTTTTAACTTGCAATTTGTAAATGTCACACTCCCTAGAGCATTCCCATCACCACAGAAACACCAATACTTTTCAGCAGATGTTCCCTCAGAACCCACTCTATGCGGAGCAGACAAATGCAGTGACCACTTCTGCTGACTCAAACCATCCCTCTGCCATCTTTGCACAACACAGCTGTGCAGGACCCAGCATTACAGACACGCTGTCAGCAGTACAATGCACTACAAGACCACTTCCAGTGGTGCTCAGCTCATGCATCTGTCAGAAAAGACCACCAGACCCAGAAGCAATGTGGAGCACCTGAGTGACAGCAAGGTGTTGCTCCTCCAAACGCTTCTGGGCTGCACTGAACCCACAGAACAGCAGAGCACAGTACAGGGGTGAGCAGCAAGCTGGGGTGAGCTCTGGGAACTGGGAATATTTCCAGCCCTGACCATAAGGAAATGGGAACGTGGCCTAAGCACCATTTTTATTCAGAGAAAAATGCTTGTTTCACATCCTTCTGTGATTTTCCCCAACTCATTACCATGAAAAGCCTTTTTGTCTCACATCACCTTTTTGCAGAATAGAGTTGCAAGTGTTTCTAAGAGAAAGGCAGTCCCTGGGTTCCTCCAATCAGAGGACTAAAATGAAAAGTGACTCCAAAGCTCATCTGCGATGTTTATGTCTCAGCTTTACAAAACAATCCTTGCCTTGCCTATGCTTTGTATTCAAATGATCAAAATGCAAAAAGGAATATTCAGCATTCACCACACTGCCAACAGCTTATGCACTTTCTGATGCCTGTTTCTGTTTACCCAGGAAATAATCCAATGCAGCATCCATCTATCAGTTCTATTCTAACTGAAGGAAAAATTCAGTTGCAAATAAAATCCCAGTGACTGCCAGGACCTGCCTGTGAAGGCCCAGCTCTGGTGCTCTCCCACCTGCCCGCTGCTGCTGCTGCTGGAACTCAGGCTTCAGGCACAGTCAGCAGCTGTGACACTCAGGCACAGGTTCTAATTCATAGGTACCAAATTCCTGTTTCCCTAGAAACTGAGGCATTGTTGTTAAAAATGAGGTGTTTTAATAACTATTGTATGACTTCCTCGTACTTTTATTTTCCAGTCAGACAATATCGCACAAAACACCCTCATTTGACACTTGTGAGATGAGTTCTTTGCTTGCTGTAAAACCATGTTACACTTTATTCAGTCGTAGTTAAACCTGAAGCCCTACAGTGGCTTTTATTTTCCACTCCAATGGCAAGTTTCAATAGCAAATTGCTTTCCCAGCTGCAATAAAGCCATTTGCGCCTTTGATTGCTATTCCAACAGTACCTTTAAATCAAAGCATTCAAGAGCTTTCAAAAGTCAGCTGAGATACAACTCAATAGAAGCCTTTTAACAGCAAATTATCTGAGTTTTAAAGAGCCTTCCACACTCAGTGGTACTTGAACCACAGGGTTATGAGGGATGGTGGTGACACAGCGCTGGGCAGCCAGGCTGACTACCCTGTGGAGCACACTTCATTAGAAACAGGGGCAGAGGGAGAGAAGAAAACAACCCTATTGTGCTCCACATGACAAACAATGCTGCAGAGTTTTTTTTTCAAATGCTGTGTATTATTTAATCCTTTTCACACATCAGTCACAACCCCCCCCTTTTTTTTGACGCGGGGCTCCGTTTCAAAGACAAATCCCTAATGGTGAATGCTTTCCCAACAGCAACAGCCACGTTAAAAAGGCTTAGTGCAAATATCACCTGCTCAAAGCAAGAGGGAAAGACCTGAGGATGGAGTGAGGCAAGGAAGTGCAGCGTACCTCTCCCAGTGAGTAGTAGCGCCGCGGGATCTGCGAGTCGGGGTAGATGTTCTCCAGGTACCACGAGAAGGGTTTGCACTTCAGGGCTTCCCTCAGCGCTTTCCTGGCTGACACATCGCCGTAATCCACCTTCACAACACCTGAAATCGTTTCATTAAGAGAAACAGAGGGTCAAAGAGCAGTTGTCACAAAGGAAGACATCACCAACTGGCCAATTCCCTCCCACCCGGGCCCAGCTGCTGACACTGCTACACCACAGCTATCTACCAGCACTGAGAGACTCCTTCAGCAAAATGGAACCCCTGATAAAAGTGCCTTTTCTTCTTTCCTGATGATTTACCAGTTCAGACAGGCGGGGCCACTGAATGCCTCCATTACTTCATACCTTCAAACATTCATTTCAAAATTGAGGACCAAAGTCCAATTGCACAGAATCCAAGGATTTCTGACTGAATAACGATGAATCCCAGTTCCCTCTTTGACAAAGGTGATGTAGCAGTAAGTTACCGTGATACTGGCAGAAAGGAAACCACCTCCATCGCACAGCACTGAATGGGAAATGGGCCATAAATAGAAAATATGGATCACAACAGGAAAAAATGCAGATGAAAATTCAATGAGAGAGGAAATCAGCCAGAAATCCCTCCGGGACAGAAGAAGAGATGATGCTCTGAAGCCAAGAGCTTGGCATGTCACAAATTTGTGTGCTGACCTATCTAGCTGTGGAGCCCCTGCTCAGTGCAGGGCAGCTGACTACATGACCTTCACAGCTCCCTTCCAACTCTAAGAATTCCATGATTCTGTGGTTCTATCATTTTAGGTCCGTGTCCAGGAGAGAGGACCACAACAAGAGGATGCAGGAGGCAGTCGTGTGGTAAGCACACAACTCAGGGACTTCTGGTGAGCTAGATGAAGGAATGCTAACAGGCAAACCCCATACCTGCTGTCCACCAAGCAGGTTGGCCTGCACATGGCTCTGAGCTAAAGGAGACCTGCAGCAGCAGCCTGCAGTGCCCTGCTCGAGACCAACACAACTTAGACAGAGCTGTGCAACCTACTGGGCCTTCTTCTGACAGACAGTAAGCAGGAGACTACGGGATTTAATTCTATGTCTATTCTAAGCTGCAGTGCATGCATATTCACAGCCCCCTTGTTTTGGTGACAGGTGACTGCTTGCTGCTTCTCAGTGGCAGTGCTGTACCTCAACAGCTCCAGGTCACAGCTTGAAAGACACCACCACATCTACATCTGAAATCCACGCTGCTTTCCATCATCCATGGGATCTCATTTTGAACTTATTACATAAGTGAGCCCCCAAGGACGCCCCATCCTAACACACAAGGTGATATCCATTCCTAATGAAATCCAGCACTGGGAAACTACTCATTCCTATTGCCAAAAATTGAACCCTTATCCATGCTCCCAAATATCTACCAGCTGTCTCTGACAAATTAGTTCTACGTACCATCATGCAATTGTAGGATGCGACGTAACTCTAAATAATTAACTAAAATATGGGATACCCAACCAATTGGTGCCACTGGTTAAATCAGCACAGGTTGATCAGCATTGTACCACCAAAAGCTCTGAAGAAATGGAATGTGCTTGCCTGGTGCCAAGAAGCTCAGAGGCATTTAGGCAGGTGTTAGGCACAGAGGCACTGGGCCCTATGTTTAATGATGCTCAGCAGCAAGGCTTTGGAGGCCTGGCTGCTCTTGGGCTGCCCACCACAGCCTTAACCTCAGACCCAGGGATCCCACAGGAGGAGCAAAGCCCCAAGCCCTGTAGCAGGAACACCAGCAGGATCAGCAGAACACCTTGCAAATCAAGTCTCTTTCCTTCCTCTGTGTGTTCCCACATATTGAAACTGGGTCAGCACACCTTGGATATTTTCCCCCATACAGACACAGAAGTGCATTTTCAGTCTGACTGTTTTTGAGGTGACTGGAGCCACAGAAACATTAAGGCTGGAGGAGACCTTTCAGATCCCCAACCTCACCCATCCCCCCATGCCCACATCCCTCAGTGCCACATCCCCACAGGTCTGGGACACCCCCAGGGATGGTGACCCCCCACTCCCTGTGCAGCTGCCACTCACTGCCTGACTGCTCTTTGGGGAAGGAATTGCTCCTCATACCTACCTGACCCTCCCCCGGCACAACCTAAGGCCATTCACTCTCATCCTATCACTAAATAATCAATGGGACTCAGCAGAAACAAACAAACAGAATAACAGTTAGTGACTAATAAGCCTTCTTGCATTCCACTAAGAAAATGGAAGTGAAATGTCCTTGAATACAAAAAACAAGATGAAACATCGCAGGAAGGCAAAGAAAGGGCTGTGTGCAAAGGCAAATGTCCCAGGGAAAAAGGCAGATGATAATAACAGAGCAGCAGATGCGCTGCCAGTGGAACAAATTGAATAGCTGCAGAATTGCATTACACCTGCATTTTTTCTAATGGGCACGTCCTGGAAATTGGTATACAAGGACACGGCTTCAGAATTGGCTAAATGTACCATTTCTGTGTAAGAAGATATTTATTCACGACGATAAAGATGAAAACTATTCACTGGAGTGTAAGATGAAGTTGCAGAGCTGGGAATGACTGCCTTTATGCAAAGATAACCCTGAGAAAACGTACTCCAAATTTGGTTTCTGCCATCATTTGCTCCTTGAGACGTCAAAGAGGAAGGTGTCCCATGGTACACTGGTGCATTCCCAACCTGAGCAATTGTATGATTCTACGATTCAGAGGGAGAGAAGTGGGAGCAGAGCAGCACGTGGGCAGCATGGCTGACTGCTCCCAACCTGATCTAAATGTCCCCAGTGTCCCCAGATGATCAAAAAAGTCCCTAAGGAGGTTTGAGGGCCACCAGGAGGGACGTCACCAATGGTCATCCAACGTTGAAGGTCACTCAATAGATCAAGAAACCATTTATAAGGCCAGGAAATAATGGGAGCATCCCAATATGAAGCCAAAAGAGGACCATGGATGAGGCCAGCAGGAGGGACAAGGGACAGTGTTGAGGGACACCCAACAGCCTCTGCTTCCCAGGCTTCTGAGAGCCCCATTCCAAAGGTAACACATGATCATGCACAATTCCAAAGCCCAGGGAGCTCCACTTTACATCTCCATCAAAAGTAGATGCATTAATTGCTATTGGGCGCATTTGCTAATTAGCTAAAACATCAACAAAGTTGGCAGTGGGACTCCTTGGAATCCTATTTACGCCGCCACAAAAAAGATGTGTAAGAAAAAAGCACATCTGAAGGGGTCTCACATCACTGCAGAAGTGATGCAAGAGAAATGTATGCAGCATAACAGAAAATACATTTTGGAATGAAGATTCTGAGCTTTGCATGGGAAAACGTCACCATTTGGGGAAAACACATTTCAGGTGTCCACCACAAAAGATATTATTCATCAAGAGAATGAGTCAATATTGCCAAGACCTCCACAAGCACAGCCTCTTCTGTTGAAAAAGACTTTAAATTACATTTTGCCCCATAAACACATTTGCAATGTTATTTATATGTGGATATTGCAGAGAGAAAAGCAGAGGCCTACTGAGGCTGAATCCTACATCACCAGGTTGGTCCTGACAGTAAAACAAGCAGAGGATCAGTTCTACCACAACAGTCATCTTCTATGAGTTTCATTCTGAACATCCACACGAGCCCATGAAGTAAGATGCTTTCCCAATGGAGAGCAATAACATTAGGGATGAACAAACAAGCCAGCCTGCCTCCTCCACACATTCCCACCATGTTTTATATGACTTGGCACTTCAATATTGGGCACAATCCACACCACTGACGAGTGCATTGTTTTCTCATTCTGCTTTTATCACATGAAAAGTAATAAAGCAAAGGCTCCTTCTGCTCTTCCCCACCAGCTGAAAAGCTTGCTGAAGAGTGAAAATGTTTACCGAGAGCTCTTACTTGCAAGATTGATACAGTCATTATCAACCTAATTATATAATTACACTCGACAGGAGGATTGCACATCATCTGCTGAGTAAACACAAGCACTTATCTTGCAACCCGAAATTAAAACTTTAAGTGCTATATTTAAATCCTCAAAAACGTTTTAAACAAGGTGCCTGAAAAACAGTGGAACTCTGCATTTTAGCCTTGCTTGAGCAGCCTGGCTGGTGCAGGAGAACTGACCCCGAGCTGATGAGTGAGGCCACAGACATGTGGCTTAGTGATGCAGTGGGCATACAGAGAACCAAATGAGGCTGGGCATGAGCTTTTCAGCTGACTCTGCAAAAGCAGGCTGTTCTGAGTTGTAATTATTTCTGTGCAGTGATTAGCTACAGCATTTTAATATGCACAGATTGACAAAGCTGCCTGTATTTGGAAATGCACAGACCAAGTGGAATGAGATATGCTGGAAGAGCCAGAGAAATAAGTGAATTATGCTGCTGGAAATGCCACACCAGGTAAGTGGAGCAAGCTGAGAAGGGAAGGGTGTGCAAATCCACCCAGACAGACACATAAATATTTAGGTGTCTCAGAATAATAAACTAAGATGCATATTTTGCAAATGATAAAGATGTTGGCATTAGCAAAGCACCACCTGGAGCATAATGCTCTGCTACTGGTGTACATCAATTACATTGAAAACAATGCCCAGCAGTGAAAATAACAGAAAAATGACTGCTAAATAGACTAACAGTGAGGAGCTACTATTAAGCAATTAGTTTTTTCATTAGTGAAGCCAAGGAAAGACAAGATTCAGAGCATGAATGAACTGTTGCAAAGGAAAGCACAGCAGTGGGACAGAGTGGGGCATACTTTGCCCCAAGGGGATGAGGTCGACCATCCCAATTTTGGGTACTCTGCATTGCAAAGGAGCTTGGAAAGAGGTTTTCTTTGCATTTGGAACACTGCAAGGACCTACTGACTTACCACAAGTGAAACATGCCTAAGAGCACCACTAACATCAATGTGGGCCATAACACACAGAGCAGCTCTGCTGTTTTCAGAATGACTTAATGTATTTTTTTCTTCTCTAAGAAAGGGATTTCCTTTAATCCCATTTGAAGTGTGCCCAGTGTTTCTGACATTGTCTAGACTCTCCTGAGTTACTGGGCAGGGTAAAATTCAAAGCTCCTTGTCAAACACTGCATTGCATTGGTTTGAAGTTGAGGGAGGGCAGATTGAGGTTGGATGTCAGGGGGAAGTTCTGTGGTATGAGAGCAGTGAGGTGCTGGAACAGCTGCCCAGAGAGGCTGTGATGCCCCGTCCATCCCTGGAGGTGTTCAAGGCCAGGTTGGATGGGGCCCTGGGCAGCCTGGGATGCTGTGAAATGGGGAGGTTGGTGGCCCTGCGTGTGGCAGGGGGTTGGAAATTCAAGATCCTTGAGGTCCCTTCCAACCCAACCATTCTGTGATTGCCACCAAATCCAAACGGTAATCACTCCTCACTGCAGTTACATTCTGTGACCCCACTGACAGCTACAGACCCACGCCAGCCTCACCAAACAGCTCCTTCAGGGCCCACTCAGAAACAGGGTCCGCTCAGGACAGAAAGCAAAACCAGTGCCTCAGAACCAGCAGGGAGCACAGACAGCCTCCAGCAAGCAATCCCTAACTTGATTAATGAAGACTTTCACCTCCAACTATAATTGCGAGGTGTGCGCCCTAATTATGCTGAGAGAGACTGAAGGCAATGCTGCTGTGAGCAGCCCGGGTTCCTCTCAGGACATCATCTGAGACACAGAGTGAAGCAGGGCCCAGAGGAGAGCGGGGAAGATGAGTGTTGCTGATAGATAACAGCTTCAGAGACCTAATTACTGAAATGCATCTTGCTTTATTCTCCAACGGAATTATCTGGAGATCTGTACGTTTCACATTAACAACCTGAAGGAGATGTGTGCCAGACAGAAGGATAAAAAAAAGGAGTTCAGTGATACTAGGAACGATTTCTGACATTTTGCAATGTCCTATAAACAAATCAATTATTTCCTATGGATTTTTGTTAAGATTTTTCTGTTGCTGTTAAAATATTAACTTCTATCAATCTTTCTAGAACACATAAGCACCTTTCTCCTTCCTTTGCTTCTGAATCCCACAGAGCACTGTAATGGCATTTTACTTGGCAGTTTACATAGCATATCCTTAAATAACTGCCCACAACAGGAATAGCACTGGGCATTGGGGCTGGAATTAAACAAACCTGGTCCTGCCAACACCACTGTTATCACTGACTTGCTTTCACTCTTCCACATTAATACAGTGTTGTAGGTTCTCCATTCAAACCTGCTGCAAATAGGCAAACACGTAGCTGTGTGCAGAAGAGAGATGATGCTCAGCAGCGTTCAATTCTGCCAGTTTGTGCTCACTTTGGAAGCAAAAGGCAGCTTTATTCACAGAAAGAGGAGTCTCAATCTAACAATACACAGAGTAAATGCATTAGTATTTTAACCTAACTTTTCTTGTTATAAGAAACAGCCTCACTGAGAACTGGGAGTTGGACTGGATGATCCTTACATGTTCCTTCCAAATCAGGATATTCTATGCCTCTATAAAAACTGTGAGGAAAACCAAAGGTTTTTATCATGCACTGGCTCTACTTTCATACCTACAAGAGTGAATTACCAGCAATGCAGCAAGCGCTGCCAGCAGCTGCAGTGCCCAAGTGGGATGTGTGTCCCCCAGGCACACTTAGCAGTGAGGAACATGCAGACACTGAGGTGATGACAAAGTCCAGTCAGCAGGTGGAATGAGAGCTGAAACGCTGAGGGATTTTTTTCATTTTCTGGCTTGCTACTTTCCATTATTTCCAATGGAGAGAGCACTTTTAGAGCCACCTCGGCACCCTACAGGCATAAAAGAAAGGGCAAAGCACTGTGCCAGCCCTGGGGAAATGCTGCTGGGGAAACTGATGGAGAAATGTCCTTCTCGGTGTGAGGAGGACAGCGGTGCCTTCTCCAACTGCCTTCTTCCCCAGGCAATGACTGCAGAAAGCAGCACTAGCAATGCACGTGTCCTGCTGGATGACAGCCTGCTGAAAAACGGTTTGTTAAAGATAGCCTTGCATTTATAGCTGTGCTTGGGAGCCTAAATTAAAATGGCCCGCGGCAAGAACTGGGCTTTTCAATGGAAGAAGGGATGTCTCTTCCCTTCCAATGCAGCTGATGAAATGCTGGCTAGGAAGCCTAAGATTGGACATCCAAGCTAAAAAATATTGCTGACAAACTTTGCCTGCTGAAACCCTGGGAACTGTAAAGGTATTTTCCAAAGTGACCGCAGAAACTCCTCACTAATGTAACAGAAAATAACCTGTTATTCCTGTCCAAGATACATGTTGTAATGGAGAAACTTCAGGTCACATCTTCATCTGTGCACAGCAGATGTGGTTCAGGACAGAGCTTCACGATGGCTGCTGTCCCCAGAAATGCCAGCTATGTGTCCAGACCTTCTAACCAGGCACTTTCTCCTCAGCTGAGCAGTGAAATAAAGGCAACTTCAGACGATGACCCAGCACCGTTCCCTGCTCCCCAACCCAGGGAGCACCCCTTGGGCACTACGGCAAAAGACTGCTTGGCCAAGCAATGCCTGCAGTGCTCCAGAGGAACCAGCAGCTGGGAGGACTGCTGCCTTCACTCACACCCCCCAGTGTGCTCTCATAACCACTTACACAACAAAATCCCAACCCAAAGAACACGTTAAGCTACTGCACTGGAGCACTGATACATCAAACCAAAGAAGCAGACCGGGAGAAGTCAGGAGCAGAGGGGATTGCTCCAGTTTTACAGATGTTGCCTAGAAATAGTTCAGCCTGCCACAGGTAGGCTCATATCAGACTTATTTCATGTCCTTTTTATTGTAACTGCTAGCGCCCAAACCTAACCTTCTGTCCAGCGCTGAATTCCCCATTCAACTCAGAATACTGTGGTGAGAATGCATTAAAAAGTCAAGGAGGACCAGGGCAGTCCTGCTGTAATTAAATGCACTGCTGATTAGAAGACCCTAAAACCAAAGAAATGAAGGGAAGGAAAAAGAAAACACTTCTTTTTCTTTTAAAAAAATAAACTACACAGCATGAACTCCTCTTGAAACTCGAATTCTTAAATTATTCTCCCATACGCATCATTATTCTAGTCACATTTACATGTATTTTACTAAAATCTCATTTTAAATGTACTGTATTTTAAATAGCCCTTAGTTAGGTATTTTTGGAGCTGCAGCTTAGCTAAAGGCATTAAAGCAGCAAACTCCTCATCAGCCCAGCAAAGGCTGCTGCCCTGGCAGAAGACAGAGGGCACAGTGCCAGCCCCAAAGTGGAATGAATGGGCAGCATCTGCATGTCTTGTACTCACTAGCAAATGCATACTTTGAGGGTCAACTATTAAAAAAGCATTTACAGTTCAAGAAAAATGCAACAGGAATTTGGTATTATGGGACTGCACAAAAGCTGAACTTAGCAAAGGAGGTCTGCACAAAAGTACGGCTTATCTGATGGGAGAACCTCAGGACTTGAACTCTACTGCATCTTATATCAGCTTTGAGTTCACTTTTGTGCCATCACAGACATCCATTTCTCAGTGGGATTTTTTGTGTTGGCATTTTTCCCTCCTCTTACAGGAGCACAGAAACCTATTACATTCGTAACAGCCCAATTTTCCATCACACACTGTATTCCTTTACTTTCAATTGGGTAGATGTAATTATCAATTATAAAGGGACACAGTCCTGCCTATTTCACACAGCTCACTTCCCATATTTAAGAGGATTCTGCTGGTACTGCTGCTTTTCACTCACATTAGGTGAACTCTCTGCATGCTGCTAAATCCAGATGGAGGAACATCCACAGGGCACTTCCCTAGAGTTTGTGTGAGACCCCCTGTTTTTTGGCTCAAAGCTTGCTTCCTGAGGTATTTCTTGTGATAAGACTCTAACTGATTGATTGAGGAGGCAAGTGATGGGTGCTACAGTGTGACAATCAACATCACTTTGTGGACATTTGAAAGCACCTTTCCTTCAGAGCTGCTTGCCTCTGGAATAGAGCGCTCAGGAGTGTTTACTGGCGGAAGATCTGGTCTGTGACTACATAGCTCCAGCCTGGTATGGGAAAACTGGGCAATGATACCATTGTGTCCTGTGAAAAACAGAATGCAGGTGGGCATCCCTGCTCCCTCTTATTTGCTGGCAAGGCCTGGAAGATGGGAACAAAGGAGTTTCTGCTGAGATCCCAGAGCCAGAAGCTGCCACTCCCAGGAGAGCTGACTCAACCACTTTGGATTTGAGCTGTCACTCCAAAGAGAGCTGACTCGACCACTTTGGACTTGTAAATAATTTGGTACTACCATTGAAAAGTTGTTGTCATCAATGGAACAATGCCCGACAACCCACCACTACTGAAGATCAATGACTGAACTACAAACCACGTTGGACCCATGGTGGTGACTATCTTCCTCTTCTACAAAGACTGCTTGCTTCTATTTCCTATCTTTTCTATCACCCTTCTCCCCTTCCCCATCTCCCTGATTAAGATTTGTAATATACTGGTTGGAGCAACATTTGAACCGTCGTTTCTTAATCTCACATCAGGTATACATTTATCAAAGAATCTTCTCTCCCTCCTATAAATTGTAGCAAGACAGTGTGGCACACAAATGCCTGTTTATCCAGCTCTAGAAGTGAAGACAAAATGCCAGTGGCTTTAAAAAGGGCTTTCACAAAAGAAGTGAGGGAATCCCCATCCCTGGGAGTGTCCCACAGCTGTGGGGATGTGGCACTGAGGGACATGGTTCAGTGGGCATGGTGGGATGGGTTGGGTTGGGAATCCTAGAGGGTTTTTCCAGCCTTCATGTTTCTGTGGTTCTAAGTATATTGGCCAGGAAAGGGTGATTCAACAAAATGTACACCCAAACCAACAAATAAATCAGCAGAATGAGTAACAGCTACCATGGAGAAGGCTGAAATTTAGTATTCAAGTTAATACCTCTGAATTTGAAAATGAGCTCAAAGAAGAATGCATTAAACATCTGTGACTGTAGTACTCAACTCTCCACTCAAGTCATGTTAAACATCACCCCAAGGATTCAGAAACTAATTTCTTACCTGGGGATATTATGTAGAAGAAGTCTTTAAACTCATCCATCCAGACCTCTGCCAGCCTCCTGTTGTTCTTGTTGATGACATGTCCTGTGCCACCAGGAAAGGTGTAAGGGGTTGCTTTACGGAAGACATGGCCAACGTGTGAGCATGTGACAATCTCAAGGGAGCCACCACACTGCCAAACCTGAAACGAAAACGCGCAGAAAAGGTTGACTAAAGCCAGCACAAAAGGTGAAAAGCTTACAGCAGGAAGAACTCTGATAGGTTAGCAGCTACCTGCTCATTTATTTCCCCAGGTCACAATTCAACCGGGAATTTCAAACTCAAGTTTAAGGGGAACAGTAGGGACATAATTCCTGAGAGCAATGGAAGCACACAGACCTTAACCACAAAGTGAAAACTTGTGTGAATGGCAAAACTGGTTGTGTGATCTTATTACATACATACGTACAAACCACTGCCTCAGAAAGGAGTAACCCTGTACTATGTTTCCAAGCATAGGGTTTGAATGCTAACCATGTATTTGAGTTTTGAAGGAATACATAATATTCAAAGAAACAAAGAAGAACTTTTACAATCTATCTACCCACATCTGTAGCTTTTAAAGCAGAATCGAGTCCACGACCACACTAGTGAAGGCACAGCAGACTGTGGTTAATATTGAACAAGCAGCACTGGCACCTCAAACATCACAGATATCCCCAAATCTACACTCTGAGCAAGCTTAGTGCCTTCAATATGTCTGCACCAGTATGAACAATCCTTTAATCCTGAGCTAGGCATCCTGCTGGTAAACGAGGTACCATTCTTCTGGCAGCTCAGTAGTCTTGGTGTGATGTACATCAGCTGCTGCACTCCCTGCAATCTGCTGCCTCTCTGGGTGCTGGGAAGAACTAGAAAAGGAACCAGCAGAGGTTCCAGGTCCTACTGGACAGAACTAGAGGCAGCTGACTCCAGATGTGTACAGAAATAAATGAGGATTCCCAAGGGATGTTTATGGGGCTACCCAACTTTCTGTTTCTGGTTGGCTGTTCTGACAGTGGTGATTCCTTGAAGCTCTCCCTACACCGGGGCTCACTGACAAGTTTTGGCACCAACAAAGGTACCACCAGCTTGCCCAGCTTGTTACCCAGGCTCATCCCCTCTTTGCAGTGGTCTCCTGCTGAGCAGGGAGCAGGGCTAAAACTCACAATACCTCTTCCTAATAAGAAGCAGGGCTTAAGAATCCTTTGGTGTCTTAAGATCACTGGTACAGCCTTGTAATTAGAGCTCCTCGACACAGACATAACAGTTACCATAGAAACTTAATGCAGATTTTATTTAATTAGGACTAGATCCTTTTATATGATTTCATTAGTATGCTAAGTGATGTACTCTGTTGGGATGAGCAACGACAACATCAAAATATTCTGGTGTTTAACATCTTGTGTTTTGCAGCTCAGTGACAACCAGTCAGCTCAGGTGAAACTTCAGGTCGGTGGGTGCAGCAAGAAGAGAACACTTATTAAACCCAAAATATGCACTGCTGATGTATTTACACAGCAACACAGCAGCAATCCCCCACACAGGACAGCAGTGAACACAAACAGTTTGAGGGGTATTTTAACCTCTGTCAGTGCTGTGATCAGTGCTCTCACAGCTTCACCCCAACCCTCCTTCCTGGCAGGAGGTTCCTCCCATACTAACACTTTTATATGTGTGTTCTGCACATTTTTAAGTGTATTTTTGGCTGCCCTTGTTACAAGCTGCTAGCTACTGCAGTTGTCATAGGAATACAGATAAACCTGCACACTGCTCAGAAGGGCTTTAATTTTTTCAGCGTTACAAGAAAAAAAACCAACCAGAAAAGCCTACAACAAAACCAAGTTTCCTGAATGCTCACTGCTAAAATGACTCCTTTCCCCAGGCTCAGAGTGGCTAGAGCTTGCAGGATCACATTGATTTGGCACAGACAAGCATGCAACAGCATACAATTAATCACACTTCACTGCAAGCTCCTATTTGCCAAGATAATTTATCCCATTTTAAGTATTGGCATTAATTATTTAAAACTACCTTTTGATCTCAGACTTTTGGCAGTCATTCCCATTACTGCACAAAAGGAGTGCATTAAACTCCATCCCGTTTCTGCACAGCCCACCTTTGAGATCCTTTGCCCCTTCTGTCATTTTTGTACGCTCAGGTAAAGCCACTTCCCACCCGCCCATCATAAATGCAGGAAGCTAATAATGATCAATTTGTATGCAGATAAAAATAACGCATTAAAATGAGCAGAAAAAATACTCATGCAGGTTAGCTGATGGGTCGTTTTGGGTGGCTCTGCACTTGTGGTTATTGCAAGGAAATGGCTCTCCCAGGAGCCAGGCAATCTCCTTTTGTGACAGGATATGTAAAACTAAGTCCAAATGAGATAGACAGCTTCTTAGAGCTTGGATTAACATAAAACTAAAGTTTCAGGCTGGAGAGATTTAAGGCATTTGGTTTTGTTGTTTATATGTTAATGACTTTGTTTACAGCATTTTAGAAATATTTACTTCCATAAAAGATTGCTCTTTTTAGTATACACTACCTAATGTGTGTTTATGGATGGTGGCATTAGATCAAAGCTCTCTTGCATTCCCACAGGTTGAAAGTGTGCTGGAATATCCCCAGTGACTGCTGCAACCAGAAAGTTAACACTTCAGCCTGAGTATGTTAAATGAGTTGAAGTTGCTGGCTGCTGCGCAGTGGTGCATAAGGGAGAGTTAAGAAATACCTCTAATGTCAACCCACAAACCTCCACACTGAAACTGAGTTGGCATACCTTGGATATTTTCCCCCATACCTCTACAGAGGTGCATTTTCAGTCTGTCTGTGAGGAGATTGGAGCCAAAGGACCATTAAGGCTGGAGGAGAGCTCTCAGATCCCCAACCCCCCCCACCCCCCCATGCCCACTGCCCACGTCCCTCAGTGCCACATCCCCACAGCTCTGGGACACCCCCAGGGATGGTGACCCCCACTCCTTGGGCAGCTGTGCCACTGCCTGACTGCTCTCTGGAGAAGAGATTTCTGCTGCTGCTATCCAATAGGAACCTCTCCTGGTGCAACTCGAGGCCATTGCCTCTCATCCCATCACTGGTTACCCAGGGCTTTATACATCCCAACAGCACTCAGACCACAAAAACTCACTTCCAATGTCACTGCACTCTCAAAGGTAAGACAATCCTACATGCATGTGACCCCTCCAGCCCTACAGAGTCACATCCCATTGTGCCCATAACAGCACAGCACCAGTCTCCCTGCCATCCAAACCAACAAACATGCTAAGCCTGCTTACCAAACCACAGCCAAACATGCTCCCATCCCTGTAATTCTGCAGCCAGAAGAAGAGCTCTCCCATACCAGCAGGCTGAACACTGGCTGCTGCTGGTCCCTTGTCCATTCTGGAGGCAGAGCACTGCACTGGGTACAAGCAGCTATACAGAAGGCTATGGGGAGACCTCATTGTGGCCTTGAAGGGAGCATAGAAACAGGAGGGGGAACGGCTGTTTGTGAGGGTGGACAGTGATAAGACAAGGGGAACGGTTTTAAACTGAGACAGGGGAGGTTTAGGTTGGATATCAGGAGGAAGTTTTTCCACATGCAGGGTGGTGACCACAATGATCATCTAATTTCAACTTCCCTGCTAACCATCTAACCAATCTCCCTCATTGATCAAGCCCAACTGATGCACTGGGTTTCTTTAAAGAGAAAGGCTCTAGCCATATATCTCCATACCACTGGTTAAAGGTTTTTGTTGACTTTTTTTTTTTAATAAAAATGCATATGTATATAAAGAAGTTTTGTTATGTGTATACATTAACTCTATTAAATATTTCCCATGCAGCTCAGCAGGCTGGACACCCACACATGCTCCAAGCACAGCTTGGCCTCCACTCCAATCCTACACAACCTCCCAGCTCTGCAAACATGTTTGTTCTCCTCTCTGAGTGCTTTCCCAGCCCGTAATGCTCCCTGAGCTCAGTGGGAACCCTCCTGCAGATGCAGGATGGTGCTCTGCAGCACAGTGCACACGGAGCTGCGTGGGGCAGCCGTGCCACCAGGGCTCAATGTTTTACACTGCAATTGTGGTGCTCTTCCTCAGAAACATATTTCAGACTGTCTGCTAAAAGAATGCAACAGCCCCAAGCTGGTTCTGGGAAGGATTTTTTCTATGCACCAAGGAAATGAAGTGACAGCAAATTGCTGCAGGATTCCTCCAGTCGGGGTTGAATGCACATCTCTGCCCTTCACCATTTCGGTGAACAAGGTGAGCTTCACAGTGATGCTCAGCAAAAAGGGCAGCAGCACCAACCCACAGCACTAACCCAGGAGAGGCACGTGGCTGATACCCTAAGGCTGTGCTATTCCCTGCTGCAGGGATCTCTTCTAAAAAGACAAGAAACAAACGTGCTGCCTTAAAGGCTTCTGCTGAGCATACGCTTCTACACATGCCTGCATCCCGTGTGCATCCAAGGAACACCTTGGAAGGTTGTGCACCAAGAAAGCTGAAATCGGATTTAAAACGTCAATGCTCAGAGTAAGTCTCTCTACCTCTCCATTTTACTGGAAAGTGAATGATGTGTACTTAATAGAAAATGGCCTGAAGATGCTTTCAGGTTCTCAGCTGATCTCCTCTAGAAATATCTGCTTGACAGAACCCTTCAAAGCCTGCTCTGTCAATAGAAAACATTCCACCAACCAACCCTCGCTGAAAACGAGAGAGAAAAAATGGAAGAAGAATCTACCTGTGCAGTTCTGCGGGGATAGGACAGGTGTGGCAGGTTTTATTTTGCATACTTACTTCAAGTGCAAAAACTGTGATCCACCACAGGCATTAAAAACCATTCCCAGTATCGTTCCTACAGACTATTCATTGAAGACTCAGTGTTTCAATTTTCCTTTACTCCTAAAGGACAATCACCAAATGCATTTCACTCCATCAGATTCCCTCCTGTCCCAGGCAATGCACCAACCCTCTCCTGCAGGTAGTGCCATCCCATGCAGTGTAAGCATCACGGCCACAACTCACAAGTTCAAGCCAAAATATGCTTTCAGAAACACAGACATCAGTTGTTTTTTAACCTAGACACATTCATACCTTTATGTCAGTTAGCATTTGCACCATCTTGCAGAAAGCCTCACTTTTCCATACAAGGACATATTATTCTAATACATATATATCATCTCAGAAGTGTAAGGTCAAAGTTTCCAAACAGTTACAAAACGTTTCATGCAGTAAAAAGGACCAAATACTGTATTGAGACATCCCCAAATAGCTGCAGCATTACAATTAACCCACGACTTGCATGGCAGCTAAAACACAGCGGCCCTAACCCCAATGTAGGAACTGTTACAGCAAAAGTGTTTGTTGACAGAAAATGAAGGAAAACGGCAATTACCCTAAAAGACATTTCAAGATTCTCTCCACCCCAGATATCCATTCCTGCATCGTAAGATCCTATCTCTTCAAAGTAGTTTCTGTCAATAGAAAATAGGCCACCAGCCATAGTAGGGGTCCTAGTTGAAAACAAACAGAAAAAAAAAAAAAAAAGAAAGGAAAAAGAAAAGAAAAGAAATACCTTTTGAAAGACACTGTGGAATTCATTGCGTGATACTACAGCACACATCTCCTCAGACATTTTGACTATCAATACATTCTACGCACAGCAACTTCAATACAAAACATCACGCGGTTCCCCCGGCTCGCTGCCATGAGTTCAGGAGCACTGCAACAGTAAAGTGGATGGAATTTAGGCACTGCATCCAGAACAGCACTTAAATCCCATCTGAGATGCTTAGAGAAGGGAGTTCAATGCCTTAGCTTTGCCTTAGAGGGAGACTGAATGTGCGGAACATTACTGGGCGTAATCTCTCCCAACAGGATTAGGGATCCTTACAACAGGCAAATCCCATCAGCGTGCAGCTCCTCCTTTAAAGCTCCTCCTGCCCTGCTTCCCCACACCGATGCCTGCTCCAGGCTTTGCAGCACCCAATGCCTACACCAGGGCCAGCAGCAAAGCCCTGTGCTCCCACCCAGCCCTGCACACGCAGGCTGGGAGCTTCTGGGACGCGGCTGTGCTCACAGCACCGGGTGCTCACAGGGCAGCACGGCTCAGGGCATTGCTTTGAGCACTCTGTGCAGTGCTGGGAGAGGCCTCTGCGCCCTGAACCCACACACACCACCGCCACGCAGTGCTGCAGCTGTGGGGCAGCGGCTGAAGGCTGCGTGGCAGAAAAGCATCTGAGGATGCCAAGCCAACAGCCACTGACCGTGAGCAAGCAGGGTGCCAGGTGGCCAAGAAGGCCAACGGCATCCTGGTTGTGTCAGCAGTAGTGTGGCCAGCAGGAGGTGACTGTCCCTCTGGTGAGGCTGCACCTCAGTGCTGCGTTCAGACTTTGGGCCCCAGAAAGACATGGAGGTGCTGGAGCATGTCCAGAGAAGGGCAGTGGAGCTGTGTAAGGTCTGAGCACAGTCCAGTGGAGGGTGCCTGAGGGAGCGGGCATGGGTAACTGTTGAGAAGAGGAGGCTCAGGGCAGACCTCACTGCTCCCTACAAACCCTGAAAGGAGGTTGGACTGCGAGGGAGGAGAGGGTTCAGCCTCCCCACAGATAGCAGTGACAGGACAAGAGGATTCCACATTGCACCAGGGGAGGGTAGAGTGGGTATGAGGAAGAATTTCTTCTCCGAAGAGCAGCTGGGCACTGGTAGAGCTGCCCATGGAGTGTGGGGGGGTCACCATCCCTGAGGGAGTCCCAGAGCTGTGGGGATGTGGTACTGAAGTACATAGGCAGTGGGCATGGGTGGGCAAGGGATCCCAGAGGTCTTTTCCAATCTTAATGGTTCTGTGATTCTAGGACAAGACAGCACCAGCACCTCTGCCCATCTGAAGTGCAGCTTCCACACTTAATGTTTGGTGATACCCTTATGCAAACACTGCTATCAATCATGCTTCCAGGAATTTTTTTGCAAAACAACAAGTCAATAAGAATGGTTAACGTGCAATTCAGGAAAACTGATTTAACAGAGCTGCCTGCAGTCAGCTGCTATGTGAGCATGGGCAGCCTGCAGCCCCAAGCTTACCAACATTTCCTATTTTCCCCACGTCCCCAGTTCAGCTCAGGTTGCCCAAGGAGGCTGTGGATGCCCCATCCCTGCAGGCATTCAAGGCCAGGCTGGATGTGGCTCTGGGCAGCCTGGGCTGCTGGTTGGTGACCTGCACACAGCAGGGGGTTGGAACTGGGTGAGCATTGTGTTGCTTTGCAACCCAGGCCATTCTAGGATTCTACGGTTCATTCCCGCCTGTTCCACCTGGCCCCAGCACAACCTTGCCTCAGAGCTGAGATGCTACCACTGTAAAATGAGAGAGCTGAAAGAAATTTCTGTGATTGGTTACTTAGTGTATATGTCTATGCGAAACTTATTTAAAATAAAACCAAAAGCAGAGTCAGCACTTGGTTTACTCATAGGTTCAAATGTCTATCATGGATTAGAAGCCACTGTAAAAGCAAAGGAACCACTGTATGCCACAATGTTAAATAACTGAGGTGCAGCAGGCAGAGCTCGTCTTTGCTGAGTAAATTTAATGTTGCATAAACAGAACTGCAGAGCTCTCACTGAAAAACAGCTGAAACAGTAATTTGAGCAAGAAGGAGCATCTCTGCAGATTTTCTCAGTTTTGTGCTTATTAGCTCTGTTTTGCCTACTTGGAGTCTCACTAGCAATACGGTGCTATGATTAATGCTAGCCATCATTCCAACCCACTTCTCATTTTCTTTTGGAGACAGCTCTGCCTTTCCTTTCTGTGACTGTGAGCAGCAAGCAGGATTCCCATTCCCATGCTCGCCCCATTGCCTTCCCATAGGGAAGAGCACAGCAGACAGGTGTTTAAGCCCCACTCTGCTGCACCCCAATGCTCCCAGCACCAGCTCCCAATGCTGCTCAGTCCAGCACCAGCCCACATTACTTGCCCAAGGCAACCCCCTGCAAAGACCTCAGCCCACTGCTGCCCAAAGCACTCACCTCAGCACCTACAGCACCAGCCAGAGCCTAAGAGGACAAATAAAATGAGGTCCTTGATCTTGTGTTCTTTCCTCTTCCTAACCCATTTAATTTAGATTTTTTGGAACTATATACGTATATCTGAGTATTTTTAAGTAGAAGTCTCATCAGTTTTCTGTTCCAAAGCAATTAAAGGCAGATATGGCAATATCCGTAGAAAAGTGCAGTGAGAAGTGCTTTCTGGTTGGGATCCTGCAGCTGTAGGACGAGTTGGTTGCACAGTGACCTCAGCACAGTGTTGCACCACCACTGGCAAATCACAGAAGGAGCACTGAGCTCACCTGGAGACACAGGATGTGTGAGTACTGCTTTGCAGTGGGGAAAGAAGAGCACACCAATGAGAGATTGACTGAGGCCACTGGGTTTAGCACTCCATGAGCATTTACCACTAAACCTGAGAGACCTGTGACCGAGCTGCACTGCCCAGAGCCCTGTGCCAACGTCCTCAGCTCTACCTGTGCAGCCACATGGATTCTGCCCCCAGGCAGCCCAATGGAACAGGAGGCTTTGCACTTCAAGTGACGTGCTTTGCAAAGCCATGGACCAAGTGCACAAACCAGGTGTTACTCCAGTGACAGCATAAGTAACAGCATTTAGAGAATAGGAACAAGACAAAATCTTTGAGGAACTTTAAAACAGCAATGAGCGACAGCAATGGTCCTTTCCAGCTGGTGCTGAAGCATTACAAGAAAAAAGTAAGGGGAAAAGTGCTAGGGGCTGAGGTGTGATGGCCAGCAAAGGAGTAGTGTATGTGGGAGCAGCCATATCAGAACCCATTCTGTCTAAGGCAGGCGTTGCTCATCGGTATGAGAGGCACCTATGAATTCTTACTGTTCTCTTTGCTAGAAATATGACAAACAATCCAACTTTTCTAATAGATTCCATTAAGAAAGTGCTTTTCCAGCCATACTGCACAACAGGGAGATGTAGAAAGTCAGAGTCACTGCATTAATTAACCTTTTCCCATCAATTCCAGAGATTCCTGCAAGGACGGATATTTCAGTGGGCTGAAATACCTGATTTGTGAATTTAAGAGCTTCTTTAATTCCTTAAGCAAACAAACAAGCTGTGCTGCACATCCACTAATTAGAAAGGATCGTGTGCTTTCCCCTGAGGATAACACACGGTCTGTGCTTAACTCCCCCTTGGGATTAATGGTCCCAGTGATGGCCGAAACCCATTCATGCCAACAAGTGATTTCTTAGTGAGCTACTCTGATTTTTCCATTAAAAATTGTATATACAGTAACAATATATGCACAAAAAATACATTTTATATAAAATAATTAAAAGAATCACAGCACAGTTGGGTTGGAAGGGAGCCCTCAGCCCCAGCCCTGCTATGGGCTGGCTGCCCCCCAGCTCAGGCTGCCCAGGGCCCATCCATGGCCTGGGGCACCTGCAGGGATGGGGCACCACGGCTCTGAGCAGTGCCACGGCCTCACTGCACTCACAGGTTGATGATGTCTAATCTGCATTATGGCATTAAACGTAAAAAGTCACAGTAGGAATTTATCATTGTTATTACGACAGGTAAGAATTTGAGTAAAACACTTTTTCTGATTACATGGCTTTTTAGTGTAATAAAACGCAGGACTTGAGTGCAATGATTGCATTACACATACAAGCACATAAGTCACTGATCTTTATGTATTCTGGGCTTATTCCATTGATTGCAAAGAAAGAAAGATGAATGCACACATATTCAATCTTCATGAGATTGAAATAATGTTATAGAACGGGGAAGGCAATGCAAAAAAAATGAAGTCAGCAGCTTGTTCCCAAATGGTTGGTGTGGGTTTGGCTTTTTTTTGGCCTCTCATCTTTAGAACAGACAAGGAGCAGCATTTGCCAAAAGCCTTCTGAACTCAAATGAAATATTCGACTTTTTTCTCGTTGGATGCAGAGTTCACTTTTGTGATTCTGACACCTCAAGACTGATTTACTGCCACAATCTCTTGCATAGCTTTTGATAAGCATTTCCAGATAGTGGCCAGCACTGAAAGCAGCCAATGACTTATTAAATGCCATTTCCCATATGAAGACTGTTACACCTCTTCTCAGTGCTCACCAGCTGCCAGTGTTTCCAGGAGAAATCTCACTGCTGTTTTGCACCAAAAAATCTCCACTGCGTGTTCAGAAAGGGCACCTGTGCCTAAAAGCTAACAGCTTGCATCCCAGGCAGCCCAATTACACCACCTCTAGAGCCACCACCTCCCTCTCAAATACTTGTTACAGGGCTAATTAGAGGATGTGCTGTGTTGTTCATTAACTCCTGACCCTTCACTAACACCCACCTTCACCTGGAGGGCTCCCAAAACACCAGGCAAACACCAGCTACAGCCATCGAGGAAAGGATGAAAAGCTGCCTTGCTTTAATAGGAGTCAGTTACGTGTATGATTCTGGATTAACTTTACGTACTGCTTCCCTTCTGCCCATCTTTCAAAGCTTCCTGTGTCAGCACAGAAGGGCTGGAGCAAAGCCAAGGGTGTTGGAGGAGCAGCCAGCAGTGCCAGCCAGCACAGCGTGGGGCCGTGCAGCTCGTTATGACAATTAACACTGTGAACCTAACACACACTTCAGGCTTAACTGGGTAAGGAACTGGAAAGCAAAGTGGTTCCAGAGATGGTCTGATGAGAAAGAGATGTAAAACACCCAGCACTTCTCTGACCCCAGGCTTTGAAAGAATTACAGTGACAGATTTTGGCCACTGTCAGTCACAGCAGATCCGAAAAGCTTTTCTGTGCCCACCCTCTGCCTTACCTGGAAACTCTGCAAACCTTTGCTGGGAACTGCCATCCCCTGAGCTGCCTCTCTCCTAACCTGCCTGTCACCCACAGTCAGGGGGTTTACAGCACTAGAATTCTTTCCACTTCATCATGTCTCTTTGGACAGGTTTGAAACCATTACATCCACTTATTACAACTTAAAGTTGTTTTTTTTCCATTTTCTTTTTTTTTTAATTTTTCTTTCAGTTCTCATGGAGATGACAGAAGCTACTGGAGCTGAGCAAATAACCCATAGCAAGTAATGTATTCAATCTGCTTGGTTTCAACTTCATTTAGAACTTTTCTCAAGGTTTTGTTACAGACTTTGATTTCAGCAATTAGGAGGAGGAGGTCAGGAAGGCTCAGAGGAACTTAGGATATATTCTTAGATTAGTTTTGACTGGGTGTGCACTGTCATCACTGTTATTTTATAGGCAGTATGTATTTTAAGAAGTGCAGACCATAACCAAATGCTTGCATTAAATGTCCAAAATTTTGCATTTCAGAAATATGCTCTAATATTTGTTTTAAATCATGAGAACAGTAATGTCTGCAAACAAGTTCAACGAGGCTACTTGCAGATAACAAACACAGAAGGAAGCTCAATACTTAGAAAGCAAGTATTATTTTGAATTATTGAATGTTCTAAAGGAAATATTGACAGAGTTTTCTCAGCTCTGATAGTTATCTGATAGTTACACTACAGCATTAAGGACAAGGCAGATGTTGGTGCTTTCTGCCACAGCTATCTGGTGTGTATTCTCCAATACTGCAGCAAAACCTTCAGTATTATCATCTACGTACAGCAAAGCCAAACACCCCAGAACTCCATTTCCCCTCCTTACCTTACAGGCAAGGTTCTGTCCCCCTTCCTCCTGTCCATCTCCCTCTGGGGCACGGGATACCAGCGGAAGTTCAGCTTCCAGTTGAAGCCTCCATAAGTCATATCTGACCCAGCCATGTATTCAAACGTGTCATCACTGATCACGTCGATGATGGGGCACACAACAGTCCTCCTGTGAGGAAAAAAATAAAAGGCATTTGAAAACGAAACTGCTGTTTGAATCCCCCCACTGTTTTATTCTGTGGCTCCTCTGCAGGAAAGCTCTGTTCAGCAGTGCCCTGTGACACGACATGGCATAAACCAGAACCCAGGAAGTTCCATATGAACAGGAAGAAAAACTTCTTAACCTGGATGGTGGCACAGCTGCTCAGATTGGTGAGCAGTCTCCTTCTCTGGAGATATTTGTACCCACTTGGACACTGCATGCAGTGTAGCTGCTGTAGGGAACTCCTGGAGGGGTTGGGCTAGGGGGCTCCAGAGGTCCCTACCAGCCTCTAAGGTTCTGTGGTTCAGTATGTCAGATAGAAATTGTATAGAATCCTTTACCTTCCTGCAAAATTAATCTTTAACAAAATTCTTCTTTTTCAGATCAGTGAATGTTTTTCTGCTTTTTTATTGCTTTAGCAGCACGGTGCTCGAGGGACGGCCCTGAGCCCCAGCTGATGTTGCAAGGATCTGCTGTCCCCCACCCTCCTCTCACCTGTCCTCCCGGATCCTGGCCAGCAATGGCTCCAGCCAGCCACGGGTGCACTCACAGTGTGCATCCAGGAAGGTGACCACCTGCCCCCGGGCAGCTGCAGCCCCCCGCAGCCTTGCACGGATCAGCCCTGACCGCTGCTCCATCCGGAGGATCTTCACTGGGACCTCCAGCTTCTTCACATAGTTCTCCAAGGAGGCCTTCAGAAATTCTGCCAAAGGCAGTAGAAAATAATAATAATAATAATAATAATGAAACCTTACTTGAAGGTGCCGACGTCCTGGTGCTGCTGCCCTGAGCTGAGGTGCCCTACGCCATGAATGGGCTCTGGGCAACCAGAGCTGGGAAGCAGCCAGTCCACACCTGGGACTGTGACATCCCTTCCAACCCAACCCAACCATTCCATGGTTCTGTGGCCTTTAAGGTCTCTTCCAAGCCTTCTATGTCTCTGTGGCCTTTAAGGTCCCTTGCAACACAACGATTCTATGGTTTGATTATCTTTAAGGTCCCTTCCAACCCAACTGCTCTGTTGTTCTGTTACAGCTAGGTTCAGCAACTCCTGAGGGCTCCAAATGCAGCTGCAGAACATACGTGTCATGCTCTGCCCTGCCAGGGACCAACACTGGCACAGGGCAGGAAACTCCTCCTGACACGCGTGGAGTTGTTTTGAAGAGCAAGAGCAGAGCTACAGAGGCTCATGCTGCAACTTAGCTCTGTGCAGCCACAAAGCACACATCCATGAGTGCACCTCAGGAAAACATCACAGAGATAAAAGGATCTTCAAGTAAGTCACAGTCTGTTTTCCAGTAATAAATCAGCAACCAGTATTGGGTGTAAAATGATTACACTTCTGCTCATTCACAAATGGCTTAATATGACTACAGCTATTTCTGATAAATTGCACTGTTTGGGCCCTCTAGGACCAGCCTTTGGGCACAGAGAAGTAACAAGCCTGTATGTTTTCTGAAGCAGGGAAAACCAGGACAATGACTACAGTGAAGTTAGTGCTACATGGAGCAAAAGTAAAGGATGGCTTGGCTTGCACCCTCCTTCCACTGAATGGTTGCAACTGGATGTTACATTTGGCTGCACCGGGGAAAACCTCTCATCGTCCCATCCATCCCAGCTATGGGATATGATCCCATTAGGGAATGGAGCAAAAGAGAGACCGGGGAAGGGATTCTGCCTTGTGCAATGACCAAGCACAGCACAAAGGGCTGCTGACCGTTTCCTGCAGCACCCACCCCTCTCGCTGGCATCGTCCACCAGGATGATCTCGGCAAGCAGGCGGCGCGGGGAGCGGGCGACCACGCTGTGCACAGTGCGCAGCAGGGTGCTCCAGGCCTCGTTGTGGAACACGATGACCACACTGGTGTTTGGGAGCTCGTCAGGGTACACTTTGGTCTTGCACCTGCCAAAAGAAGTACAGGAGAAAGAAAAAGTGAATCTAGAAGATCCCTAATGAGTTCTACGGACAGGAAGGTCGGAAGGAATCTTCATACGCGTGAATTCTTTAGGAGGAGCTCCTCCAGTACATCAAACCTCTCTGTTAAGAGACAGGAAAACAAACGATCCAGGTCTCTGCAGCAAAGTCAGCTTGCCCATATGGTTTCTTTCATAAGCATTATCTACTATAACAAAACTCACTTTAATCTCTTCTTCTGAATCACTGCCATTAAAAAAGTACGTGAAATCGTGATCACAGCTTTCAAAATGCAAGGTGAGGTGATAATACAGAACACTGAACAGCACTGCATTCTGCAGAACAGGCAAAAGGTTCACAAGATAGTCACTGAACACCAGATCTGACTGCAGAAAGTATGGTGTTAATAGAAACCATACATACACAGGCATGTGTATGAACACATGTATAAATATTCGCACGCACAGAGCTACGTAATGGCCTTCACATCATTTGGATGGAGACCACCATTCAGGTCTGCTGGTCACCATCCCACCTTTCTAACTTCAGCAACCTTTCCGCATCTAGACATCGTGATGTGGATTCAGAGTTCACACAGAAAAAGTTCATCACTTGTAATCAGAGTCAGTTGTGACAGAACAAGGGGAAATGGCTTCAAGCTGAAAGAGGGTAGATTTAGGCTAGATAAAAGGAAAAAGTCTTTTACAGTGAGGGTGGTGAGGCACTGGAATAGGTTGCTCAGAGATGTGGTGGATGCCCCATCCCTGGAGACTTTCAAGGTAAGGCTGGACCAGGACCTGGGCAACCTGACCTAGCTGTGCATTGCAGTGGAGCTGGACTAGGTGACCTATACAGGTCTCTTCCAATTCTAAGGATTCTATGATTCTGTGATCATCCGTGACAACAGAGGTGCCTAAAAGAGCAAAAGCTCAGCAGAACAGTGTGTCCAAAATCAGACATTCTGAACTGATTTAATTCCAAGGCACACTGAATGGGTATATACAAAGCTGGCATAAATTCTGCTTGTCCCACAATTCACAACAATCGCTTGAATTATATTTAGAACAGACTCAATTTTGAAAACTGGGAGAGAGCTGCTCCATGGGATTGTTTACAAACGTCCAGACACGTGCATTAGCAGCTAAAGGCCAGGACACAAAGGGGCAGGCACTAACTTTGATCACAGAATCATGCAATCTCCTGAGTAGGAAGGGACCCACGAACTGTCAAGTCCTTCTCTGGCAGCCCTGGCTCCGCTCACAGCAACAGACCCTGCTGCTCATCCCCTCCTTAGCATCCCAGACACTTCCACGCTGGGATTATCCCCTCTGGGGGAGGATTATTCAATTTCCAAATGACTTCATTCTGCTGCTTGGCTATGTATAGTTACTCGGGTACCTCAAGCAATGAACTGGGATTTGCTGATATCTGGTCCGCTCATCAGAGACCAAATTAAATCTATTCACTCTGCTTAATTTGGGTCATTTGATTTCAGTAGAAAATGTAAATGCATGTACTTTGTCTATATTATGGTATTAAATCCATATTTCAGTAGATTACTGCAGTGCTCAGCCCACCCAGAGGAGCATTTAGTCTGCTCCGGGTGGCAAACTGGGCCCCATGCTGACTTCCACCCCACAGCATGCAGTCATCAAATCTGAAAGGTGCTCTCAGAGGAGCAGTTCTACAAGAAGCTCAACTTTCCTCAGCTTTCTGGGAGGTTCTGGAAACAGGCCTGCAAAAGTAAAGGGCTGGCTGTGCAAAGGGGAGGCCAAGAGCATGGCATCACCTAAGCAGCAACACTGTGCACAAAGATAAAATTGGGGATTGTCTACATTTGTGCTTTAGCTATCACTAATGTTTTGGTATGCTTCTTGAGCTCAAGGGATAGTTCATGTTGCATTTTATTTCTCACAGAATATTCACAGAAACATGGAATGGTTTGGGATGGCAGTGACCTGAAAGACCATAGAACCACAGAATGGTTGGGTTGGAAGGGAGCTTGAAGTTCATGCAACTATAGAATGATTGAGTTGGAAGAGGCCTTAAAAAGCACAGAACCATAGAATGGTTGGGCTGGAAGGGGCCTTAACCATCACAGAGCCATGGAATGGCTGGGCTGGAAGGAGCCCACCCTTGCTGTAGGCTGGCTGCCTCTACAAGCTCAGGCTGCCCACAGCCTCTCTCCTTGAAAAGAAGTGACCTAAGGATCAAATTTTAAATGAGCAGCTGCTCTGGAGCAGACAAACCGCACAGGCACAAAGTCATTAGTGCGTGCTAATTGATGAGTGTAACAGAGGTGATTCCTGTACTGGCTGCTGGGATGACCTCAGTCCACAAGCACCGGTCCCACGGTGAGAACATTCACTGCCTGGATTCAATAACTCCATGAGCTCGCTGACCTGTTGGCTACCTAACACTTGCAAGCTGCTCACGTATCTCCCATGGAGGCAACGCGCTGCTCCCTGGATCCTATGCCAGCACTCAGCTCTGGAAGCTAAACAAGACGTCAGTACTGCTTCAGCCATGCATCATGTGTGTAATCTCCATCACAGCACCGCTCACCTGGAAGTGTTTGTAACCACACAGAAGATAACATCTTCACTGCAACCACTGCACTGACACACACTGCACTTTTTCTGCTTCAGGAACACACACCTTGCTGAAGGAGAGGTAAAGGTAAGCCATGCACTGCCCACACAGCCATCAGATCCGAGGACTGCCACTCCACCACCTCAAAACTCCTCACAACGCACACCAGTTGTTAACAATGATCAATGTTAACTGATGCTGGCATGCTGGCAAGACTTCCCCAGAAACACTGGTTTTCCTTCTGCACTCATCAGATGTTACTTTATAAATACACATGAAGTAAATACAGCTGTTTAAATGCAGGAAAAACACATTTTCCAAGATCAGTAATATGGAAACAGTGAGACTATTTACCATCCTTCCCGTTGGCTGTGTGCAAATTGCACGAACATGAAGGGCTGTGCTGTGATTTTTCTCTTCCAGAATTATATTGAGGCTCTCAGGAAAGAAAATCAAGGCAGAAAATCATGCAGGAAGGCAAAACACTTGGAGGGAAAATGAGAACGTAACCAGTAAGTAGAATTTATTATGCAGTATTTGTGATACGGTGCATTAGGGAACATAAAGAACTGTGTTAAATAGATGTAGTTTATATGAGCTGGGGGATTTTGATGATTATTTAGTCATTACCCACTATTACCTTGCATTACTGAGAATATAAAGATGGAAACGCATAGAAAAGGCTGCATGTTGGTGCAATCCTGGATGTGTTTTCTAGAAGCTGCACTTTGGAGCACCACTGGCCACCTGCAGTCAGCAGTGCTTTGTTTCTATGTAAGTGATAACGTTTGTGCTCAGAGAATCCTGCTGTCTGAAACACAGTTCTGTCTTGTATACTGTATATAAGACCTGCTATAAGGAAATGCATGGTACAACATTCTGAGCAGGAGAAAAGCTCATTGGAGCAGCTGCATAAAACAAGAGACTTGATTTAGGTCTAATTTGTCATCTCTCCCCACTGCAAACCCTACCTCTGCCACCTGCCCCATCACTTCAGCACACACCTGTTGGAGCTCTGCTTCAATACATTCACTTCAACTGCCCCAGCTCCTGTTTTAAAACTGAAATTAATGCAAACGAACGGCAAATAGAAAATAATTGAAAAGGAATTTATTTCACTTAGAGTGCCAGGACTGCAGCCACGCTGTCTCACTGACTTTTACTGTATCAATAAGTCCCAGCGCCAATCAATTTTTACAGCCAGCAGATGAAGGATGTGAAGATGCATGAAAATTGTTTTCCGGTGTTTCATTACAGAGTACAAGCAGGTTTGTACTTGGTAGGAGCAACCCTTCACTCATCCGTCCAGCTATCAGTGCTCATAAAGCTCCAGGTACAGCCCTGAATATCAAATATTCCTCTGGGATTTTCCATCCAAACTCTGCTTTGAGATCTTAAAAATCACTTCCCAAGTTGTTTACTGAATGCTCATAGTTATTTTCACGTTGAGGAAGGCCGCAATTACACAACACAGCAATATTAAAAGCAAAGAACCTGCAGTCAATACTGCAGATCCGCCATCCTGAGCCTTCCAGCAGACAGCTCAGGGGATTTTCACCTTAACTCCAAGTGGAAGCATCAATACCCCCACAAACCTGAACACAGCACCAGGCATGCAGCTTAATTCAGGACAAACCTGTAACGGAGCTCACAACTCTTCAGATAAGGTTTTCCTGGACAGCTTTTCATCATTAGTTTTGCTCCATTTCCAGTGCTGTTTTTTATGATAGCATTGCTGCATCTTCTCCATTTTACAATACCAGGCTAACCTCCTCAACCTTCCATTACTTTTCGATGTATCCTTCAAAGTATTTTAGCAAGTATTAACTCTGTATCCCCAAATCTCTTGCTCACACCTGCAGTACAGGAAACAAGACACCACTGTGTCTGTCCCAAAATGCCTGGTGGAGCAGACATATCCTGATGCTAATGCTCTTTATAAGGCTCTCTTGGAGCTCTCACTAACAAAGGGAACTCTCTCTGCATGCCATCAAAGCACAGGAGTCAGTGGGGTGGGACAGCAGCCCACAGAGACATGGCTGAGCATCACACCTGCCCTTACCAGATGGGCACAGCCTCATTGAGGCCAGATGCTCGTTGGGATGCAGCTGCAGCTTCTGCCACCTGCCCAGGGCAGACCCTTGAGTTCTGGTTGCAGTTAGTATGGGATCTATGTTGCTCTAGTCCTACAGCAACCCCTTTTCTGGACATAACTGACAGCACCGTAAGCAGTGTTGTTCCATCATGAAGCAGTTATTAAGGAAGCATATATAAAGAAGCCAGGACAGCCACCCCCACACAGCCAAGAGGTGGCACAGCCCTGCTCTTGGCCACCAGTAAGCACCAAACCTGGCCAGCACTTAGCCAAGCCCAGGGTACCTTCCCTTCTCTCCAGCAGCACTTCTGCCCTTTTGGTACAGAGAAGTTTCCCCCATTTCCAGAGGAACAACAGCAAGCCACTAGGATTTAACCCTGCAGTACAAACACAGCCCTGCTGAGCACTCACACTTTCTCCTTCTCCTCCTGCATGTGGTTGTTTTGCTGCTGGTGCCTGACCCGAATTGCCTCCCCTTGTGCCTGTGTTCTGTCACACAGAGCAGGCTCTGTTTGGCACACATGTAACATCCTCGTCTCTGCACTGCTCACTCCGTGCCAAGACCACAAACAACTGGCTGTCACTGTGATAAAGTAATTGGAGGAGCAGCATTTTCCACTAAGCAATAACAATGCAAAGCCAAACAAAGCAAAGCTCTGGTCTTGCATGGCTCTAGGAACAACCCAAAGTCCACCTGTGAGAAGTGCTCCAGCAGCCTGAGCACACCTGGCAGAGCTCAGAGGTCCCCCTGCATCCCTCATCTCCTATGAGCGCTATGGCACCGCAGCATCTTTAAATTCAGCAGCAATCCCATGCATAAGGACCTCACAGAGGCCACAGCTGCTTTGGAAGCGTGAGGGGCTGTGAGCTCAGCAATTTGGAAGAAGCTGATGGGACTGCAGGGGCTGTAGGCACCTCCTGAGGCACTGCTGCTAATCTGACACCAGGAATTGCCTTCCATGTTGTGCAGATTACCCATGGGCACCTTTCCTCCCTGCAGGCGGTCACCCAGGTAATTCTCCCTCCACATACACAAGGCAAAATAATTCCTAATGTGTCATTCACATTTTCTAGCTGAAAGCACTGATTAATTTCTCTCTGACCTTCCTTGTTTAAGGATGGTTTAGAATTTCTCTATGCATAACTTTATAAGCACAGTAAAATATTTAAAAACAAGTTAGCTTTTACTGATAGGAAGCTGCAAGCAGGTAAAACCTGAACACACTTCAGTGACCACTTTGAGCTGGAAGAAGAAATAAGGCAACACTTCATGGCATGAGACAAATGGACTAGATGAGACCATCAGAAATCAAAATAATTGGCTCTCCGTTCTCAGGGCTGAACTGGATGCTCCCTGCCCAGGCACAGGGCTGGAGGCACTGAAGGACTTCAGGCAGCAATGGCTGCTCCTTCTTTGTCCAGAGTCCCTTCCCTGCTCTGAGCACATACAACAGCCAAGGCTTTGGACTTGAAGAAGGCAGCACAAAACCATAGCACTGCACTCAAGCCAGACTTACAATTAAGAAAAAGTTGAAGCTAAGCAAGATGACAGTGAAAGCATTGCTTCTGCTTCTCATGTTTGTACCAAGCTCTTTCTAAGAGGCCTCCTAGACATGCAATGACCACATCTAGACCATGTTTGGACAAACCCAACACCAAGTGACCACCAGATCTGCATTGTAGTAAGTGCCAGAGCAGCAGCTGAGCACCTTCAGTCCTTGAGAAGTGTGCTTACTGCTTATTATGACTACTGCCTCAGATTTAATAACGGATTCTCTTACCTTCATCTGAAGTGGCATCGTTGGGCTAAGTCCCTTCATACTCCCAGGCATCCATAAGTCGCAGGCAACAAGGCCAGCCAGATCCGAGCACGGCTGTCAAGGATAACCCCCAGAAGAGCTTCTGACAGCATAAAGATTACCCATGCAGGTATTTGACAGCTCACAGCCCTGCCCACTCTGCTGGATTCTATGCAGCACCTCTGACACAGTTGTTACCGATAACAGGCACAAATTCTGCAGGACTGCTGCTTTTACAAAAGCTTCTCCAGAGCAGAAAAATAAAAGCCTCTTTCTTATGTGAGCTGTTTCTGATTAGAATATGCACGCTTGTAAGCAGAGACACAGCACAACAGCTGACTTCAACCTAAATTTCCATGATAAGGAAATCTGATTATAAAGGCTTAACAATTTGCAGAATAGCACTGGCAACTTATTCTTTCAGAAAAGACTGAAGACAGATTTCCCTACACTGGGGAATATGTTTAGAAACAAAATTACACATTTCTACATTTAATTCGACTGCTCATAATTAGACATTGATTAACACCTTCGGGCTGGCCATTACCAGCACAACTCAGGCTGTGGGCTGAGATTCCTTGGCATAGTGGGAAGCAAGAGACACAGCCTGAGTGCTGCTGAGCTCATCAGCACCAGGCAGCACGGCAAGCCCTGCCAGAAAACTCCCTGGCTCTGAAAGAAACATGCAAGAACACACAAGGCTCAGCCACCCACATACTGCAGCACACCTCCAACCCCTGGCAATACAGCAGGTGCTGCTGTTGCATACTGAATGCATTAGCCCTAAAACTCATAGAATCGTAGGGTTGCAAAGGAGCACAATGCTCATCCAGTTCCAACCCCCTGCTACGTGCAGGGTCACCAACCAGGCTGCCCAGAGCCACATCCAGCCTGGCCTTGAAAAACTGTATTCTTCCCTAAGAGCAAAGCATTATAAATAGGCACTTGGAACAGTTTAATCCTCCTTAAAGACAGGACGTGCAATTGTAATGAAAGAATCTCAGAAGAGAAAAACAAAAAGATGCTTTTTTTTTTTGAAATCCCAAAATACTTTGTCTTTTCAATGCAGATTGAGTGTGAAAGCTTTTCTCATAAAAGAAATGCACACAGGCACATTTGTCTCAGCACTACATAGCTCATCTCCCTCAGACCAAGCACATCCATTCACTGAGATGAACACTTTACCTATTTGCTCATTATTCCTTCTCTTTTCAACTATCACTCACAGGGGGAGGATGCAGCTTTTGAAGCCCACCAAGCAGTCCCTTCTTGGTTCCTTCCTGCACAGGGAAGCGCAGGCAACAAGGAGCAAAGCAGCAATAAATAGTAAAGCCTTCCTGGTGCTTCTGCTGCACACAGTGCATCTCTGCTGGCAAAAATGTTAGGTGCTGTTCTATTGAAAATGAGCATCACCAGGTTACAAATGGTCATGCACTGGAGAAGCAACAACTGCTCATGTTGCTTGTGAACTAGGCATGGTTTTTAAGGAACAATTATGCTATTTGAAGACACTTACAAATAAAATGGGTGGGAGGGACGTAGTATTTGTTTGATTTAAAATTTCATAGGGACCTGAAGAATCTAATTGGAAAGAAATCACAATAAGCAAGATTCCAGCTAAGTGACAATTCTGCTTAAAAAGTAGAAGAAATGGAAAATTTTAGAGTATCTGGCAACTTGCCTACATTTAGATCAGCTCATATTTTCCTACATTTGCATTTCTTGCAAGCTGCAGCAACTATAATGCTAGGATACAAAATCATCCTTGGGGCCCTAGGCAGTCTGGTTTGGTATTAAATGTGGAGGTTGGTGGCCCTGCCTGTGGCAGGGGCGTTGGAGCTTCATGATCCTTGAGGTCCCTTCCAACCCAAGCCATTCTGTGATTCTATGACCCTTAAAGAGCTGTGCAAAAACAGGAAACATATGGGGTTTTTCTGATCTATAGCTCTGCCTTCCAGTTCTCCTAAATCTGCCGACGCTCAGGTGCATCAACCCATTGCTGAGCCCACCCTAAGGAACTCCGAGAGCAGGAAGAAACCCACCAGCACTGCAGAGCTGGGAGATGGACAGCAGGGCAGCACAGTCAGTGCCACCCAGCTGCCAGCACAGGTGCCTGAGGACAGATCAGTTATTCACTGCCTTGTTCACCTGCTCAGAGAGCAGCTGCTGTGTAGAACCTCTAATCTTTCTGCTCCCATCACACTGAAAACACATCAGTGCCTTTAGCAGCTGGGTTTCTGCGTCTTGCCGTTAGCATCTCTAGTCAAAAGAAGGCATGGTATGGATGTCAGCAATTCAGCAACAGGCATCAGTATTCAGTGCCACAGCCTGTAACTGCACCAAACCACTCTGGTTTAAGTTGCTGTGCAACCAGGCAGGGCAGAAGTGCCAAAAATGGGAGTTATGTGGAGAGGTCACCTCTGAGCATCCTTCCATGAATGGCAGATGCCCAGAAGGTGGGGAGCCAGCAGCAGTCACAAACAGGGTATCAGAAGTTATCAGATTTAAATGAATAAGCAGACTTTAAAGTTTTCCCATTTAAACAAGTGCAAAGTGTTCTGAAAAAGATTCTTTAAAATGTGATTATCCTAGAAAAGCCTACAGGCAGAACTAATAGGAAGTCACACAGTGCAGGACAACTTCAGGCACTGGTAGCATTGTCTTCTTGTCAGAATTAACATGTCAACTTTTCAATGCCAATGGCTTAATTACAAAAAACTACAAAATCAACAATGGTGGGATTTTTTTTTTTAATCACTTTAACAGCTTAAAGTTTTCCAGGAGAAAAAAAAAGTAATAACAAAGTATTGCAGGTGACATGACAAACCAGACAGCATTTTGTTACGTGCCACAGTGAAAGTCGACAATTTTCATCAGTTCACAAAATAAACTGCACATCTGTGAAGCAGTAACTCTTTGCCTCAGCGTGTGTTACAAGAAGCCAAACCTAGAGCTGGTAAGCCCCAGATAAGCAGGCTGCAACCAGAGCCCAGCAATGCACCCGGAGCCCAAGGAGGATTTGCCTGCAGCCAGCCCACAGCCCCTGCAGCAGAGCCCCGAGCAGCACTCACCCATCCAGCCTCACGTCTGGCAAGCTTCTGTTCAGAGCAATCAGGTCACTGGCCATAAGGTTAAACTGGTTGATTTTAAACAGCTCTTTCATCTTCTCCTGGTCGTCTTTTGGGATGAGCACCGCCTTCCCCATCTCACCGGGTCCTTCCTGGTTTCTGGAAATGACAGCTGCAACACAAGACAGCAAGAGGGCAACTTTGAACGCTGGGGTGTCTTTGAGCATTTGCAGCTTTCAGCTGGAATCACAGTGACAGTGCATGAATGCTCCTGAGAGACTCACATAAGGATTAAAACCCAGCACCAGGTTCTCAGGGAGATCCTGCAAGCCAAGGTCTAGGCAACATTTGTATAGCTGTTGAAAGAATTTGAACAGCACGTGAATTAAATCGCTCTGACCTATTTCTTTTGCTGTTAATTTATTCCCAACTGAACGGCACATGGCATTATAAACCTGTCCTTTAAAAAACAAACACCCCTTCAACCCTGCAAAAGGCAGTCATCCTCAGAAACACAGTCTAGACACACTTGCTAGAAGAGTATCAGGAATTTACCCAGGAGGTTTCTGCCTGCAGTTGTACTGTATGCTCCATTGTGCAGCAAACACTTTCCAGTGATATATTTCTATGACTTGCTCTGCTCAGAAGCACTGCTGGATGCTGCACTCACAGTGCACTGCTTTCACTATGACTGTGTGTGATTTCCAGTTGCATGCTGTCCACACAACAAAATTCCCCTTGGAGCGTTTCATAAGGGATATTTATGCAATGCATAATGCAGACATAAAGCACTTGGAAGTAACGGTTGGTAATTAAACTCTGCTCTGCCATCACTTTTTGGAGGAAGGACAACACTTTGCACACTGGAATTTGAAAGAGATGGTCCTTCAAGCTGCTAATTCTGGCTATGGAAGCAAATTCTCCCTCTTCTTTCCTCTGCTGGAAAGATTGAGGGCTGCATCTTTCCCCTGGCAGTTCTGCAGGAGCAGCTCTCTGCTTCCCAAGGGCCTGTGCCCAATGAGAGCCCAGCAGGGAGCAAGCAGCCATGCTGAGACACTGCTGAGGTAGTAAGTCAGCAAGAAATGGGCTCGTCTGGGATGCTGAAGTACTCTGGGTTTGGCTGAAAATATCTTAGTGACAGTTTTCTGCTGTAGAAATCAGAAGCTTTCCATTAAAGCAAATAGGCGTAAGAAAAAAATCTGTCAGTGTATTATTAGAACAGTCATCATTATGACAGGAAGTTTGCTGCCTCTCAGAGCAAACCACCTAACAGAAGTGCATCTCCTGAAATTGTGTAGGGTACCATCCAAACACCACAAGGATGCTGTGCTGCAGTAGGACACTGTGCTGTGCTGCTGCAGGAATCACTGCCAGCTCACCAATATGGCAGTGCCCCATAACAGTGCCTCACACTCATCTCAGCCTGAAAACTTCCAGTAACTCTCCCTGAAGGCATCAGTTATTCATACAACCTGCAGTAAAACTGAGCTTTCAGTAAGGGATTCCATGTGCTTCTGCTGCTTGCTAAGGTTCATCGAGACAAAGCTCAGGACAGCAGAAGCTCTGTGAAGCTTCACAACAAAACTAATTGGGAATTTCTGATCAGCCTTCCCACTCGCACGGCTTTACTCAAAGCCAAGTGATACCTGACTACATTTCAATCAGAGTACATGCAATGCTGTGACCAAGAAATATGTTTAATTTTGCTAATTGCAGCAACATCAGCTTGCCAAGCCTGCAGAGAAGACACACACAGCTTGCAGGCTATGTCACCCAAGCTTTCAAAAGGCACAAAGTCACAACAGTGCTGCAAGGAAGGCCACAGTGCCATGGAATGGGAATGCTAACATCGAAGAGGGAAACTGTGATGCCTTCATTAGAAGCTTCTTTTTTGCCTTATGAAAGGCGAGTCACTCCTCATCAGCCTCCTTCCTGCTACTGGTGTGTTTGTGCAGCATCATGCTTACACCATGTTTTACAAGGAGGCTGTGGATGCCCCATCCCTGCAGGCATTCAAGGCCAGGCTGGATGTGGCTCTGGGCAGCCTGGGCTGCTGGTTGGTGACCTGCACACAGCAGGGGGTTGGAACTGGGTGAGCACTGTGCTCCTTTGCAACCCAGGCCATTCTGTGATCTTCAATGATAAATACAGAGGAGGATGGCTGAATCTATGTGCTGCCATGTTAACCCACTGACAGCTGCCAGGTAAGAGCACTCCTCATTCCTTCCTTTCTGCAAAGACTTCAACGAGCTCTGTCCTTCCACACCAACAATTCAATTCTATCAAAGCCTTACAAAAGCAGAGATCTGTCCTTCTCTTCTCTGGAAGTCATGGTGGTTAATGAAAATGGAGTCTTCTTGCTATTGTTTACAAGCAGGATGGAAAAAAATGACAAAAAACAGATGGATGCAGATCTCAGAAGGTCACCAAAGCTTCCCCCAGACCACACAGGGTTAACTGGACTTAAGACACTCACAGCACAAATTCAGTATCTACCTTCATGGATATTTTACAGCCTTTCAAGAAATCCAAGCAATGCAGTAAGTGGATTATACTCTTGCCTTGACCCAGCTGAGGAAACAGAATTTTCAGGAGCTAAAGACATAAAAACTGGAGGACGGGGGCTCAGGAGGGCATCCACTTGTGTCTCGCCATGCTTTAGCTCATTCTGTTTAAAGGCTGCAAGTGAGGAGCAGTGATTCTGCACTTCTGTTTGTTAACTCACTGAAGCAGATTTCAGAGGTTGTGCTTTTTAATAAAAAGTGCTTTAAAAAAAAAAAAAGAAGTGTCCATCAAAAATAGCTTCATCTCCAAGCACAAGAATTAACGCTCATCTCCTCAGTGACCATCTTGGTGCATGCAGGCATAATGGAACTGACACGAAGCATGCCCACAAAGAATAAAAATGCTATTTATCCAGCATTCTGCCTGCAGACATTTGACATCATCTGTCAGAGGAAACAGGCCTGCTTTGGAAATGCATACAGCCTCCTCACAAGGGCTTACCAGAAGCACTGAGGTCTTTGGTGGAGCACAGAATACCAAGTGCAAAATTCAAGATAAGGAAAGGAAAAGTAAAGCTGACCTCAATAGATCTGAAAGCATTCAATTTACTTAAGGATTCAGTAAGGGCTCTACACATGGACTGCTGCTCAGATACGTTGACACATGGGGGATATAAGGACTCATCACCCATGCATTCTCTCCAAAGGCTTCTTTTCCTTGCACATACCTTGGCTTAAGCCCCTGTACCTCCACAGCAGCGCTGTGGAAAGATGCTGGTTTGCAGATGGACAGGCAGCAGGGTCCCTGTACCCCCACCCCTGTCCAATCTGCCTTTCCCAGCACAGCCCTGGGCAGCCCTATCTGGTGGGGCACATGGAGCCCACAGCAGGGGGCTGTGGGGGCTGTAAAGTCTCTTACAACCCAAACTATTCCATCATCCCATGATTCTTCGTATATTATTGATCAGTTGAAATCACTAAGGAGAAAGCTGGAAATAGCACTGATGCCCAGCACAGCTATGATACAGCAGCAGTCAGATGGCTTCAAAACAAGCAGAGTGCTGCAGGGAGGGACTTCAGCCCAAATCTCCATTCTGCAGCTGCCAGAAACGTGCAGTTTGAATAGAAAACCTCTCAGCTTTGTAAGAAATCAATGGAATGCTGGCGTTATAGTTTGGAAAGCTAAAAATAACTAGGTGAGGATAAAATCAATCTTAGGATAGCGATAGGGAAGAAAGTAGCTTAAGGGGTGTAAGCCACACACAGCTGCCATCTGCCCAACTTGCTGTGTTCACAGATATCTCAGAAACATAATGGGTAGAAGATAAGATGTGAACGGCTCACTGGTAAGAACACCCCAGTAAATGACAGTGTCTCTCTACTCATGCTGAAAATGTTGAGAGAACATGACTTAAGTTCATTTTTCAGAGCAGAAAGGCTGAGGTTGGCAGGGACCATCTGGTCCTGCCCTGCTCCACTGAGTAGGGCCACTCAGATCCAGGTGCCCAGGACCACATCCAGGTAGCTGCTAGAGATGGCCGAGGGAGACAGTTTTGATTGGAACTGCAATTAGAAGAATTAATAAATAAATAAAACATCAATAAAACCAGTGGTAACTGAAGTGTGATCGGAGAGACAGGCAGAGCTGCCTGTCCTGCTGCCTCAACCAGCAAAGGCCCTTCCCAAGCAGTCCTGCATTATGTAGTTCCTCATCATATCTTACTACAAGGCATGAAATCAATCGTCCAGAATCCTGAACAAGTAATTCTTTCTTCATTGCACCTCTACAGTGGCTCTAACACTCAATATTATTCTGCTGGTTTATGCCCAAGTAATTTGTTATAAACTCCACACAGAATCCAATAAACTAAAGGATCAATTTGCAGTCCTTTGCCATTTGGATGATATATCTTTTGCTGCTCAGACTCATCTTTATCCGAAACATATGGAATTCTAGTTTTAATTATACAGTAGTAACAAATCCCACAAAGTTGCCATAAACATCATTATATAGGTCATTTGCTTTACAATGTCTTCTAAGACAAGAGCTCCACAAATTTGAACAACAAAAAAAAAAGTTGCTTTCAAATAATAATAGAAGCATCAGAATTCATTGCGATTTCTGCCATAAATATTTCTTACAGCATTTCCACACGTGTTGTCCAGAGACACATCAGACCACATTGCTACTGCCAGCCCCACACGAGCAGTGCAAACGAAGTGCACATCAGATTTAAGCAGCACTCAGGAGGGACACGAGCTCTGCTCACAGCTGCTGGTTGCTGCCTTAAGAGAGCTGAAGGAAGGCACTGATGCTCCTCACGAGTTCCTAAGGAATCTGCACACATGATGCAATCTCGTAAAGCTAAAGGTCTCCACCATTACTGGCCTTGTTTACACCATGGTAACAGCTGTGATACTGATAGAAATTCAAAGCCTAATGAGATATCATCTAGAACATCTAGTTATTTCTTTCTTCTTTGCGGTTTCACACTCTGGAGAGAGAGAGAAGCAAAGCTGCATAAAGCAAGACAAGAAGTGACAATTCCTAATTTAAACAAGCTATTCAGACACTTCAAACAGGGCTGTAAGATCAAGCTCACAAGCAGCAGCAAAAGTTCGGTCTACTCATCTGCCTTCTTCACTGTAGCAAGTAAATAAATAAAAA